GATAAGGACGATAAACCGTAGGCCCCGTCTCACAAGCCCTTGCACATGTAATAAATCTGTGGGACGTTAAAGAACCCACACACTCTTCGTAAAGAGTAGGGCACGTAGTGCCCGGTGTAGTGGTCTATCTCACTTTCACACTCATGTATGGGGGCATCATCACTCATTCCTTCAGTACTTGTAAACTGCACCTTAAGCAGTCTGGCAAAGTCCCCCAACCAGTGTTGTAAATTATCCCTGAAAAGCCCTGTGGGGAGTGGATAATAAGATATTTACAATTTACAATTTATTTCAGTATTGAGTAACTATTATTATGTACTTATTATAATTTTGAAATGGTTAAAGATAGTGTAAAATAAAAACTTATAGATTTCCTTTTTGGTGCTTGCAACATTTAAAGACTTGGTTTTGGTTTGGTTGACGTTATATGCTGTATTTGTCCATTTGAATGGCTCAAACTGATTACTTTTTTTAGGGAATTGGACTCATCTGGCTTTGAACATGTTTTTGTGGGTGAATCACGAAACAGGGCAGAAGTGATTGGCTTCCATAACTGGATTCAGTTCTATTTGCAAGAGAAAAAAGGCTTGGTTGACTATAAAGGCTTCTTCCCAAGTCGAAGAGTAAGTACACTGTGCAGTGGAACTTTGATTATTTAGACTTGGAAAGACTGGAGTGAATAGTCTAAGAAATCAACAGACTGGATAATTGGAAAATGTGAATGCCAGTGACATTAGTATTTTCATTATTTACAAAGGAAGCTAACATTGGCTAACATTTGTTTGTACGTAATCTATGGGGTAGTCAGCAACTCAGTTTTCAGCAGTCAGATGAACGTTAAGCATGTGCCAACACCACTTTTGCTCTTTGAATTGGAAAAAAAAATCTAGTTCAAAGAAGCTTTTTGACACCTGAATGATAAAATTGTATTCTCAAATCATGGTGTTGATTTATAAATATTCATGACAAAAAAACGGGAATGAGAGAAATAGTCTGGAGAATCAAGAAGTCCAGATAATCGATGTTCAAATGTATCAAGTTTACTGTAATCTTAACACCAAATCAGTAACATGAAATTTGGCAACAGAATGAGACAAGCATAGAGAATCAGGTTGTTCAAAGAGTAAGACATTTCTTAAGGTTTCTAGCACAGAGCTCTGAGGAGCAGGCCAAATGAAGAATTATTATTTATTTCCCTTAAAAATGATGTGGAGATTTTTGTTTTCATAGGAGCTTTGCAACTGTGAATTTATTACCTTGTTTAAATGATTCACTTGTTTAAATGGCATTGAAAAAGTGTTTCATAAGTGGTAGCATATGATCATCCGGGTGAATGTAGTGCTAAATAGGACTGTTGTTGACAGTAGCTCACATTTTGATAACGTGTGCGGTATTCATCTTCAGAGTCAAAGAAATAGCAAAAAAAATTTTTTGACTCTGAAGATGACTACTACACAGTTTGTTGAATCATCAGTCACTGTCAACAACAGTCCTATTTAGGAATACACCCACCCGGACGATCATATTCCCCCTCTTTTGAAATTACGCCTGGGATCAAACCTTTCACTGAAAAAGTGTTTTACTTTTTTGCATGACAGAAAAGGCACACAACTAGTGAAGAAGAGAGCATGAATCAGCTACTTACAATCCAGTTTAACTGGAAAGGTGATGTAAAACCGATTGGCAGCAGCTTTATTGGCACCAGCCCTGAATTTGAAATGGCACTATATACAGTTTGTTTCCTGGCTGGGCAGGGAAAGGATGTCCACGTGGAGCTGGATGACTATGATGTAATTATTAAAGCTCATCATATAGGGAGAAATTTAGGTACCTGTTATCCGAATACTGTGTGAAAATAATAGAAACAATTTTCTGGAATAAAACTGAATTATTAAGGAGTGAAACTAGGATTGTTATCCATTTAAAAAGGATATTTTACTGTTGCTGGCGTGCTTTTAAACTCATTTAAAATTGTCACAGCCTGTTTTTCATAGCACGCTGCCCAAATTTGGATGATTTATGTCAATCATTGGGTGACATCATGCAGGGAGGGCTGCGGTATCTCTTCACTTTTGCTTTTGTCAGTGAAGAACTTGAGAAAACTGGCTGGAACATTCCTAACATTTGATAACCGGGCTACTCCTTCACTAAAAGATTGGTTTTGTTGCACGAACAAAACCAGACAGGATAATTAATTAAGTCAAAAGGCATGGGATACAAGCAACTTTATTTGTTATTAAAAAAAATTACCGTGTAACTTTTTCGATAAGCTTTTGAAAGTGTGAGTTAATTCAGTCTATAGCGTTGATTTGTAAACTTTAGTGTGTGTGTTTCTTTGGGGCTGGGTTTAGTCGGTTTTTTGGAACGTATGTCTTCTAAATGTGATATTTAGAGCTTTTAATTTAAACGATTATTACTTAATAAATCAATGGAAAATTTGCAAAACGTGAAAACGGCGAACGTTTTTATTTTGTGTTTGTTCTGTTAATTCAAACCTTGCGTGCAAACTTTGAAAGTAGAGAAGTGAACGCTTTGCATATTGATGACAAGAAAATAACCAACCGAAAGTTTGGTAAACCATGTCGATTTTTTTCGTCTTTTTCATTTTTATTTCTTGAATTGATTTACCTTGACGTTCACAAATACAGCGTTTTAAGGTAACTAGTTAAATTATGGGCATTAATTTAATGCTGAATAGGTCGGTCAAAAAGCTACGATGTAATCACTTCGATGAAACATGGACTTGTTTCTTTTCCAATTTATCTACAAAACAACTTGCGGACTATATATGAAACTAGATGGGGAAATGTTAACTAGTATAAAAACAGTTGGAAATTCTGTATAATATTACAAATCTAAGGGAGGAAACTAAGATAGGACGCTTTTTGAACTACGTTGTAAGTTATGAGAAGTTAATCGTCGTGCGTTCACCCTCGATACTTAAATTTGATCAATTTACATGATTTCGCTGAGGACGGCGGCGGGTTAAATACTCTTAGACTATGTTTGCGGATGCATTGTTTCTGAGCAATATTGATCCATTTACTTTCTAAGTTCAGCGTCCAATCACCAGCTTTACATTGCTTCAACTAAGAACTAATAAAAAGTTTCTCTGTGAGTTAAAAACGGGTCTGTCACTGGACATAAAAATAAGCAGTGTCCATCAATGTACCATGCACATAATTACACCGATAATGAAGATTTTTAGATTTTCCGACCGCCGTACAGCCATAACCGTCTTTACAAGAACTGACGCCAACTCCAAACGCAAAATCATCGGGGAAACAAGTCGCTTGCTGGTCCCCAATACAGCCTATCCGAGCTATGTGGGTGGTCTTTACAGGTACTGCATTGGGGTTATCCCTTTGCGGGTTGCAGGTGTTAGCTAAGTTTAGCCCGCACCAACCCTGCCGTAGAACAGATAAATCGCAGCTCTTGCCAAACGCCTTCAGCAAAGTCGCGAAGGTGTATTGCTCTGCAGGAACAACGCCAAATTGCGTTTTAAACAAATTTGTCAGGGGCATGTTTTTATTGTGGGTGAAAGGAGCGCAACTTGTGGTCGGTCCTGTCAAGCAAACCATTATTTTGTTGCCGGGTATTAACGACCAGCCTTCATTTTTCATTGACGTCTTCTGCGTTATATCTGGCGAAGTAACATCGTTGAACGTTTTGTCGTTTGCCCAGTTTTCACTGACTGGTGAAAATTCGTCTTTCCCGCCATTCGCTCGGGCAACTAGGGTCCAGCCGCCCAGCGCCGTGGCCGGCCTATCGGGATCGAGTATGTCGCCGCGCGGTTCCTGTCTTATCATTTCACAATGCGTCTGCAATTAAATGAACAGCGGTCATTACTTGTCATGACGTGACCCAATATACTACTAAGGTCGTGCTAAAGTCAACCTTTTTGAAGAAGATAGTATTTGCTACATAAAGTTCCGAGATTTCCCAACTTGTCAGCAATAACTGGGCAAACACGAAACGCCGACGAAACGCCGCTTGTCTAGCCTGGAGAATTAAAGGACGTACAAGAACGCTGTCTGGTTAAATGCACCATAACTTGGCACACATGCGTAATGCAGGTTCGGTGTCATTGGCCCAACTTTCTCACATCCGTAACCGTCGTAACAGCTCGTCACGCCAATACCAATCGCATAGTCATTTGGTCCACAAGTCCTCAAAAGATCACCGAGGCAACCAATCCGTGCAATGTGATTGGTTGGATTTAGATTCGGATTGATATCCTGCGGGTGGCAAACACTGGCCGTGTTCAGGCCGCACCACTGCCTAGTCATGCGTGATATATCGCAGGACTTTCCGAATGCCTTCATAAGAGAGTCCATTGTGTATCTCTCGTCGACAGGAACCCCAAACTGGTTATTGAATAGTTCCGAGAGGGGCATGTTACGGTTGTGGGTGAAAGTGGCGCAGTGTGTATTTGGGCCATCATAACACACCCGAAGTATATTGCTGCGCAAGTCTGCCCAGCCAATATTTTTCATGGCCTTTTGGGTGTTGGTGTCAGGCGCAGTTTCGTTGTTGATGACGCTATCGCTTGCCCAAGTATTGCTGACTGGGGAAAACTCATTTGAACTTCCCGGCACCCGAGCCACCAACGTCCATCCACGAGCAACCATTGGTTCGATTTCGCAATGTGTCTGCAATAAAATACAGGCTTCCCTTGAAGTGACTGTCTCACAATTATGAAAAGTTGGCGCTTAACAGTTATAAACGCGCCTCGATCCAACAAGCTACACTTCAATACCTCATGCACTAAACATTAGTAAAATTACTTTGGTTAGTATTAGTTAGGCCTTTGGGAATACCAAAGGCCGTAAGTGACAATCGATAAAAAGTCAGTGGCTGTTACCTTTCGAGTCACCTATAAAACCAAGAGATCTGTGATTTATTCTGCGTCGGTTTTGAAGGTGACAATTTCGTTAAGAATAAACGTTTTATCTGGCTAAAAATGTCCCAGTCCTATCATCTGCATGAAATTCATTTGATGGAACCGATCTAAACCAATTGTGGAATTGCACCAATTTTTTTACATCCGTATCAAGGAACAGGAACGACAATCAGATATTTTCAGCAACAATTATTTTTAGTCTGTCCTCTTCTACCGTGAGAAGAAAGTCGACATTTCCCGATTTCCAAAAAGAAATGACGTCTGATAAACAAGCGCAGAAATTCTATGCTGATGACGCGTCACTACCAAGATCTTGGTGGTAATGCTTCTGATTGGCTGAAAATTTGCTTCAACCAATCAGAAGCACTACCTAGATCTGGGTAGTGACGCGCCATCAGTGTGTAATTTCTGCGCTCGTCTCCCAAACGTCAATCGCGAAATGTCGGCTTTTTTTCAGGCTAGTCCTCTTCCTATTTGTTCAGACATTTCTTGTGGTACGGCATATTTATTAGTTGTGCCATGGGGGTCTCAATCACTTCTAGGTCTCTCACCAAGCAGATAGCCTCCAGCTAGGGTGGTACACTAATCAGTTATAGTCACAGAAAGCTTGGCAATGGAAATTACAATTTCAGCAAAATAGTTTGTCCCGTTAGACGAATACTCACCTGAAATGGTCGGACCTTCCCCTTTATCCAGTAGGCCCCACTTACAGCCCTAGCATCCTTTGTGTATATCTCCTGACAGCTAGCCGCCGGGTTTTCTTTACTACAACAAACGAGATAACCCCAGATGTACTGTGGTATTTTTCTTTGATGTACGGTATTGACTTGAGACATGTATCATCTCAGAATAGGTGTCGCCCCTCCCCACCTGAATGCCAACGAAGCACTGAATGGAATGAGTCTCGCATAACTCAAAAATGTGACCAGCGCTGATTCCTTTTTTGGAAGTTCTAGCTATCTATAAATCCTAGCTAGCTATCTATAAATCCTATATAGAGTAGATATAAAACGTGTATAAGGCGTGTCAAGGGTCTGTTTGAGCTATTTTCTGTCGTTGTTGTTGTTGTTGCTTTCGTTAGACGCTCTTCATGAGGAAGCTACAATAAATTAAGCTCAGAATGCGTCTTGTGACGATCGTTTACAAGATTGACGTGGGGATGCGTAACAAATTCTTGTCCAAGATATGTATCTTTTGTACCAAATCCTCCAATTCGCCATTTGCACGTCTCCCATATACACCTTGCTTTCCCCCCCCCCCCCCCCCAAACAAAAAAAAAAAAAATCTTTTTTTTTTTTTTTTTTTTTTTTTTTTTTTGTTATCCTTCCAAACTATAAAAAAAAAAAAAGATGGTAAAAAGGAGAAAAAAAAAAAAAACCACCAAACCCACCCATTTGTTTATACCTCAATCCCCCCCACCTCCCCTAGCGTATCTTTTTATGCTCTTTATTAGAAAAAGACTTATAAAAAAAATCCAAAGTGCGTTTTTGGGTGAGCTTTTAAAGAATTTCGTGGGGGGGGATGAAAAAATTATTTCCCAAAAATTTTTTTTTTTTTCCAAAACCCCCCCTTCCCCCTTTTCCCGCCCCCCCCAAAAACCTCTTTTTCCCCCCCCCCCCCCCCCCCAAAAAAAAAATGTTGCATAGCTGTTGTTTTTCATTTTTGTGGTATTACAGCCTTTGACGTCCCAATAAAGGTACATGAAGGAAGATGTGCAAATGGTGAAAAAGAATCATAGCGCACCAAGCTCTGCTTGTGTTTAACCTACCATCTCCCTACACTGCAGTTGGGTATGGGGGGTTGTACTGCGTTCATATTCTGCAGGTGGAAAGTGTATATGTTAAAAAATATTGCAAAATTTCAGCGACACAAGCTATAAGGCTTCAGGGCCTTTGAAGATAAATAACTGGAGTTGTTCTATTCTACGAAAGTACGTTGGTTTGAATTCGAAATAGTAATCTATTCCCAGTGGACTCTCGCTCAACAAAGACCTGGAGACTCAATGGATGAGGTACGGGACATGCGTGTCTGCAGGCGAGAAGGCGATAGGACTAGACCAAAATAAGAGAAAAAATGGGAGGCGGGGGGGGGTCAAACAAACAAACCACAAATGAAAACGGATGTAGACCAACCCCACCCCCACAAACGGGTTTCGACGGCGCATGAGTCCAATCCTCCCGCCCTTGCAGCCAAACTGGACAAATTTGCTTGCACACTTCTTTATTTATAGACAGAAAGCCACTCCCGAGGGAGAAACGCACACACACGCCTGAATTAAGGACAGTGTTACGCGAGCGAGCACTGGGAATAGCTGTCAGTCCCATTTATTTAAACTAGTAATAACCAAAGGTTACGGAGTGCGGGCGACAACGATCGAAGGTCAAAACGCTTTTGCTCCAGCGCTGTGCTTTGCCTAAGTTTCACGTGACAGATAGTCAAAACATTCGTGATCAGATTACGAGTGATAGAAGATTCAAACGCGCGTCATCAAATTGCGTTATATGCATTCCATTCATTCTTAGAGGAAATCCAAACGAATGGCTACATAGATGCGACGCATGCGTAATAACAACCTGAAGATTGGGATTGCGGGCTCCTCTTATCGCCCGAAAATACCAAATACTTCATTAATTACTTATTTTGTTGAAGCGTGGGTAGAATACTAGAAAAAAAGAATTACAATTCTATAGACATAACTTATTCAGTATAGACAGCAAATAACGAAATAAGAGGTTAGAGCATCGAACTTCTATTGAGCAATTAAAATGCACGCAAATTGACTGAAGAACTTTCTAATGCCAGTGAGATACCAAGGTGAACTTCTCTTCTATAACTGCATTACACTCCATGGAGCTTAAATGAGTAGACCGTAGTTTTTGTTTACTTTTTATCATATTCCACAAAGACTTAGCTGCACTCCACCTTGCAAGTTTTTTCCAGTTCCAGTATTTTTGCTTGAAGTGTCGCAATTACTCCAGGAGAACACTGAAACTGAAAAGACAACAGAGAAATAGAGAAGGGTGTTCACCTAAAATTTGCCAAGTTTCAAAGACGGAAATGTGATTTTTCAGCGATACAGTCCTGGGCGTACTTCCCATGCCAGGAGCACATTGCCGATCGAGAGGCTTCCGTCCATGCACGTAAGACTCTCAATGTATTTTTAGATTTCTTTTTTGGCGAAATTTGTTTTCCTTAAAAAAAGCTCATTGTTCCTAAGCGTTTTTAGCTCAAAACGTTGCTTAACGCGTGCTACTGCTGGAATGTCTTACTTTGCTCTGATTGTTTACATCTTTTCAAGAGATTGAAAGTGTGACAAGCTGCAACCCAGACCTGGCCAGGGAGGACCAAGATGTAATGACAACCTTGTTCGGCAGGGCTACTCCCTCAGAAATTGGGGGAGATGAGGAAGACCATTACAACGAGGTTGATGTGAAGGGTTCCTCATTCGTCACTGGTGTCCGGTGCCTGTATGGCATCTTCCCACGCCTTATTGGTCAATGCATTTCCGATATGTATCCGAGACGAACGGCCCCTCGGACCATGTGGCCTAAAACGCATAGGGCGCCCGGAAAATGAGGGACTTGGCAACTACGACATAATGAATGAAGGCAATGACGTAGTAATTATAAAGCGAAAGGTATACCGGTCGTGTCGAGGAAAGGTCCGAATTCGTGGTTAAACCGATCTTTAAATATACTGGTCCGTGGACCCGCCGACACGAGTGCATGGAACGTTCTCGCTCCGGGGTTATGGGTTTCTGACTAAATTAACTTAATACTGTATTTATAAAAAATATGAAGTATTTCAAGGTACCGGAGATGGTGCGCATTGACCTGGATTTCCGTTTGGGCCCTGGATGAGGAAAAGAAATCAAACAACCATTCAAACTTATCAGAATTTAAAAAAAAGGCAGTTTGACTGCATGTGGTTACTGCCTTTACATTTTCATAGAATACTGTAGCAAGAAAACAAACCTTGTACAACAACAACAAAAACACCCCTGCCGAATCGCTCGCATTGCAGGCCGAGACAGTTATGTCAGAAGGCTACGTCGGCGAGCCGTGGGATGTATGTTTTTTTGATCATGGAATTTTCCTGTGGAAAAGTCTGTCGGTTTGACGGTAAAAGGCCAAAGTTAAATACATTTCTTGCAATTTGAACAACAAATGGCTGACACAGCTCACAAAAAGCGTCTCCAAAGTTGGAAGCATTGCAAACATTTTCTTTAATATTCTGGATCTGATGCTCCAAATCTCTTCCATTTCGTCTGTAACATGCTTCTCCCGTCAAAACTCATCGCCAAAACCAATGGGCAGGAAAATAACCATCCTCGGGTACCCAGAGGCAGTCAGTTCGGTCGGGAGAAAAGGCCCGCGCAACGAGAATTTCCATGCTTTTCTCTTTTCTCGCGCCCTAGGTCTCCGAAGATGGAAATAACCTACCTTGTGTTGGTTTCGCTAGGAAAAAACCCAGGACTAAATAGCCATGACTTGTGGTGCTCTCATTCCCTTACTATGGCAAAGCGACCACGACACACGAACTAGTCAGGGTTGGTGTCGATTAGTTCGGACAGGTCTGGAACTTATCCGACTAAAAAACAGTTGAGTTCTGATTGGCCTGATTGTATTTCTTCGTTACTTACTCAATTACATTCGGAAAACCCATGCATATGAAAAAAGACGTTCAAAAATAATTTCGGTTCTTACTGAATCTTGCAGCAAAGAAGCAATCTTGTACATGGTGTTCCATCGTCAAATATATTACACTTACTCGCTCAAGAATTTGCTCCTATTTTGCGTCATGCCATTGGCTTAGAATCTCGTTTTTTTCTTAATTATATCTCTCATTCCTATGCTGCTGGAATGTCATCCGTCTCCTCGCCCCACGCCTCCCCCCCCCCCCCCCCCCCCCAACCCGGGGGAAAGCCCCCCCCTTTTCCCCCCCCTCGGGGGGGGGGGGGGAGGGAGGGGGGGCGTTTTCAACCCCCCCCCCCCTCACCCCCTTGGCCCCTGTTGCCCGTGAGGGCCGGGGGGCCCGGGGATTCTCCCTTCAAATTTTTTTCTCCTTCTCGCTCAAAAATTTTTTCCTTTTTTTTCTCGTGCCTTTTGCTTAATATTTCTTTTTTTTTTTTATTTTTTCTCTCTCTCCTTTTGCCCGGGAATGGCCCCCCCCCCCCCCCCCCCCCCCCCCCCCCCCCCCCCCCCCGCCCTAAACGGGCGGAAAGGCCTCTCGTTTTACCACCCGTTGGGGAGTGGGGTGAAGAGACGGATGACATTTCAGACTACGGCCCCTTACTTACCTTAGGTCCCTGTGGTCCTGGAAGGCCGGGAGGGCCTGGGAGACCCTAAGAATAAAAAACGTAATCAAGTTGGCAATAGTTATTAGAGGAGACTGGTAATGAAAGGCGACAAACATCAAATATAAAAACAACAGTGCAACAGTTTATTTTGGAAGCTCCCTCATGGTTCAAGATCCTTTGTTTTTTGTCGGCAAATTGTGATGGGATAATGCGACGTTTTTATTGTTCAATACGATTAAATGTTAGCAATGCTTATGAACGTTGTACACCGCCAGGTGAACAAAAACATATAACAACGGAATAAACTAGCGGGTTTCATAACCATTCAGTCCACCCAAGACAACCTCGTGGATAAATTAAAGAAAATTTGGTTGTTCAGTGCACCTTTGTTCCAGGGAATCCGCTCGTTCCATCTTTTCCCTTCAGTGCTAGTGTTAGTGTATTCTGCAGAAATGGAAAAAAAAACTCTCTTCTCAACAAATATAAAATGTTGGAGGAATGAGCAGAAAGATTTATAAGGAGATTAAGGCTAAGTTCAAACGTCACCCGACGAATTTTTGACCGGCTGAAAATTTAGACTGCCGCTACAGGTCCTATGCTAAATGTGTCCATGGTACCAAGATTTTGATCCTCCCCACCCAGGACAATGGGTGACTGTCTGCACCTCCCACTGCGCTCTGCAATTATCATGATAACCATTCTCAGCAGAGGTCTGACTTAGCTGGCTAGGGCAAATTAAATATACATATCACGAATACCGATATTCAGGACATACGGTTACCAAGAGAGAATGTCGCTTATTCTCTCTTGTGTAAAATAGCCTTTGGGGGCAAAGGCGGGGATGACATATTATACTACTGCTAACCTGTGAAATTTTGACCTTGCATTGGGGGCTCCCTGGACATTTAGGCGAAACTGGTGGAGAAACAGGTACAACGGGCTAAAATAGAAATAGTAACAAAAATAAAAACTTCACAACACATACTAAGGTGATTGATTTTGATGCACATACATCAAACTGAAAACCAGAATCTAAGGACTTACCTTCACGCCAGATGCTGGTGGAGGCGCCTGTTTCCCGGGAGAGGGGGCTATGGGGACCGACTGTGAGTTTATCCCAGGGGCGTCTCTTGGCGTATTCCCTTCAACTGCTATTGGAGGTAAGCTCTTTATATCTACAGTCGTTTCTTTACTTGCGTTAGCAGGCGCTGGCACCAGAAGATATGTGTTATCTAAGTTTTTCTTCAGTATGAACTTTTCATTCGAATCGTCTGCTCCAAGAGAGAGAGTAAGACTTGCGAGCAATATGGACACCACCAGACTCAGGTTCATCTCTGTAAGAATCAGTCCCTTGGCTATCACATCAGATTATAGCATTATTTGAACGCATATTGAAAAGGCTGAAGGAAAAGGAGACGATGAACGTTTAGTAATCATGGTACATTTAGATTGATTTACAAGGTTTAGAGCAAAATATGGGTGGATAGTAATAAATTGGCTTTTTTGACCACAAGTACCCCCAAACCCGAAATATAGTGTTACCAATACCTATTAGAGCAGCGAAAGTTGTAAGACTTTGTATGAGAATTTAGTCATCGTATATGGAATTAAACAGAGGGAGAAAAGTGAATGCGAAAAGAAAGCTGTTTCATGCATAAAGAGGTGTGCAGATAAGATTTTTGTATTTGGTGGTGAGGTACGCAGGGGCGGGAAAACTAACTTGAGCCGAAAACTCCTGAACTTTGATTCAAACCTTGTTTTTTAACACAACCTTAACGGAGCTGAATAAAATGTCAAATACAAACGGGTACCTCACACTGAGTTCTTTAGAGAAAGATAACAAATATCTATCATTTAACTAAAGCGACGTATTTTTAAAGTCAACTAAGTCCAACACAGAAGCGCGCTTAGTAAAGGTGCTGAAACGTGATAACAGTGCAATAATCAACAACTGAAGTTCAATCATCATGATGATAATCTTTGTCCTTCGTTCTTCTATGTATGGTTACCAATGTTAATTACTCGGTAGAGTAAGAGATGGACCAGTTGCATGAATAAAGTGAATGAAAATATACTGTCTTGTAAGCGTTCATGGCCAGTGTAGATTATGGCGCATCGTCGAGCCTCCGATGTTGATTAAACAAAGAGACCAATTTTCTCAGAGTTATCCAGGAGGTTTTAGTTCTAGGCAAGGAATAAATATGTAGAAAAGTGCCTTTGCTGTCCTATGTTATAGAAATATAAGGTGGTTACTTTTAGTTATTAACTACAGGAAATTTCTAATAATAAGTCCATGAAACTATTTTCATATAAACAGATTGGTTGAAGTCAACATAATATATTGAGTGGGCGGGAATGTCAACTGCCTTCTTCGTAGGACGTTAGTGTTGAGCTCAACACGACATAAAAACTTTGTGACTTCGGTGGAAAAACAAGTAGTTGGCAATGAACTATACTACTGGCATTGCTTTGTAAGAGAAAAGTCCGAGAAAATTGTCCGGCGTTACTAAGTATATACACCGATGATCCCGGCTGGTCGATCCTTAAGGCAATTACTAAAGACTATATCGCTTGCATGGGAATTGGAAATTGAAAAGATACAGCTAATTACCTTGCCGCTTGAAAATATTCCCACCAGTGAACGAACTCGATTAAACTGTCCGTGAAAGTGTTAAAGTCCCACTACAAAAAAACGATAAACACCAAACATTTATCAGTTGTTTCGGGGTATTAAATCACCCAACTCCACTATAGACAATGGACAATGAGGTAATTAAATTATAATCGGCTACGACCGGAACACAAACATGTCCAGCGGTAATGCGGGCTGGTGGCAACAGGTTATTGTGTCAAGTTTGGCACTTGTAGCACTTCGCGATCTTTCTTTGACGCCGCGAACGCCTGTTTAGTCTTATATGCTCTTAATGAATCTGAAAAAGAGAGATCATTCTCTCTTGATCTGAATGAATTGATGCATGCATGGGCCTTTTGGTCAATTTTCAGCGCCGGTGCATTTACTAAATTGCATAATTGCAATGACCACTTCTAATAATAACAATAATAATAATAATAATAATAATAATAAATAAAATAACAATAATAATAATAATAATAATAATAATAATAATGATAATAATAATAACAATCTTTATACAGGGAGCTCACTTCACAAAGAGTGATATTCAGTGAGGCCTCGTAAAACAATAGAAAAAATAAATGATCTTAGATAAATGAATGCGTACATGATAGTAATAATAAGTAAAAAGTTAAGAACTAAAAACCTAAATAATACAAACTACAGGTTAAAAATGTTAAAATGTCAAATAGACTGAAATATTAAAAGCTTTAAAATATCTTAAATATATAGCTTTTAATGTTCTGTTTAAAAAGAAGAAGAGAGTTAATTTCTTTAAAAGATGCGTCTAAAATGTTCCATTCTCTAACGCATTGATAAAAAAGTCTCTGCTTTCCGTCATTCCTTTTAGCGAGAGGAAGACGGAAATCGTTCCATCTTCTATTGTTATAACTATGGATGTCTGAGTTTCTCAAAATATTAAAATTGTGATCTACGAGTACGTGGATGTACTTAAAAGTGGTAATGTATCTAATAGATGTACAAGGCGCTCTTGAAATAAGGTAGGCCATCCGAGTGTTTTGAGAGCGTCGGTAGACGAAGACTAGTTGGGCAAATCAAGGATAACTTTGGCAGCCTTATTTTGCAAGCTGCATTTATGACATTGTCAAGACTTCGTATTCTCGCAGAGCGTTAACGGCGATATTTAACGACCGATCGGTCTCAGTCCGGGCCTGAATCAGATTCAGGAAGGAACTAGGAGAAGGTAGTTGTAGTTGGTTTGCCCACGAAGCACTAAGGAGTTCTTACGGAGTCGTTTAAACGTGTTCGTGCGCTTCAGATCGAATTGGAATTTGGAAGAATTCAGGTTTTTGCGTAGATGGGAAAACAGGAGCATCCGGAGAAAAACCTCCTTGAGCAAGAGAGAGAACTAACAAAAAACAATGGCGTCGACCAAGGGATTTGAAACCGGGCCACATCGATGGGAGGCGAGTGCTCTTACCAGTGACCCACCCTTGCTCCCCGATTCCCTTGCTGCAATTATATTTGAGGCGTTTTGACAGCGAAACAAGGAAATCTGTTTTCAGTTCAACACTCTAAATCTGGAAAATGATCTTTTTATTGTAAGTTTTTCGGCCATTTACGTCAAAGGTTATTTTTTCAATTCATGCAACAACTTCCGATGGGAAATTTTTTCCTGGACACTTTGTGCACCCACGTGACTTATTCAACCAATAAAATCGCGAGAAAATTTACCGGTGCGGTAGTCGGTGCTTTACTAAGGCCTGGCTACCAAGCACAGCACTATGAAAGCCAGTTGAAACAACGGCGAGTGTGTGAAGAAGGGAGGCCGAAAATCATGATGAACGGAGTAGACGAACAAGAATTGCTCACGGTTGTTCCCCAAGTACTAAAACGTCTCTGTAAAATAGTTGCACGCGGATTTTATGAGAGCGAACACGCTGCTATCATAACTTTATTAACGAACTCTAAGTACCCATGTTTACAAGAGGATGATCTCAGTCGTATGTTGGGTTTTGACAAGAAACAACTACGGCAAAGTCTGGTGCGTCTAAAGAATGAAAAACTCATAAAACAAAGAATCCACAAAGAAAAAAATCCCGAGACAGGAACTACGGTTAGTTTTAATTATTACTTTATCAACTACAAAGTGTTTGTAAATGTGGTCAAATACAAGCTGGATCATGTGAGAAAGAAGATTGAAAGCGAGGAGAAGCAAGCTAAAAATCGGCCTTCGTTTGTGTGCACTCAATGCGAAAAAAAGTATTCCGATTTGGAAGTGGATCGATTGTTGGATTTTGAGACAGGCCAGTTAAAATGTACTATTTGTGATGGACTAGTTGAAGAGGATTCTGCTGAAATTAAGCAGAGTAACACATCTAGAACCAGCTTAGCGCGTTTCAATGAGCAAATGGAGCCAATCTTTAAACTCCTCAGAGAATGTGAGGAGATGAATCTATCACCAGCCATTCTGGAACCAGAGCCACAGCGTGCTCAGCTTGAAAGTGCTGCTTCTGGATCTCGTCCGTCAGGACCCCGTGGGAACAAACCAGCATGGGCAAATGATGCCGGCGGTAGTGATGTTAGTGGTCCAGGTATTAAGGTTGATATAATGGGGGGTGAAGAAGACGAGTTTGCAACAGCTAACAAGCCTCGGCCCAAGGAGGCACCAATATGGATGCGGCAGAGTACAGTGGTGGCAGCTCCAGGTATTCAGACGGATGCTTTACACAGCAATCAAGTGCCGCAGCAAGGGGAAGCCCCTCATAGTAAAACAGGAACTGCTGGTAAGGATGATGAAATTCTTGCTGAGCTGTTGGTTCATGAATCAGTCAATAAGAAACCACGTCTAGACATCAATGAAGCACTGGGTGAGGGTGCTGGTAATGATGATAGTGACTCGGGAAGTGATGAATCAGACTTTGAAACACCTACTCCTGGACCAGCAGCCAAAGCAAATGATGTCACCGAATCCATGGATGGTCATACTGAGAGTGAGCAAGAAGATGACGAAGCACATGAAATCAAAATCAAAGTCGGAGACAAGATGGTGGCAATTAATGATGTGACTGATAAAATGCTGCGCCAAATGACGACAGAGGAACATGATGCTTACACAAAAGCACTTCAGCATGTTTATAGCCAGTTCTACTGAGTGACCATTTTATGGTAGCATTTTAAACGTCTGACTAACAATGTAAATCAGTAGGCAGATCTGAACTGTATTCATTCACTGTCTTGTTGGTTTTTGAGAGTGAATGTTTTGCACTCTTGTTACCTCCTCAAGCAGGGTTGTCAGAAAGTTTTGAAGTAGATCGCTGAGTTGTCAAACTAAGCGACCAGTCCAGGGATATTTTATTTAAAAAATGCCATCCTTAAAGAAATGCCAAGCAGAGTAGCTGGCTGAACTAACCAAGCAGGTGGCGATTCTCCCTGGCAGCTGGCTACTTTTGTCAACCCTGCTCAAGCAAGCAATATCAATGATAGCAGTTTTGTTCTGAATAACCATAAGGCATGCTACCATAATGTTAAAACCACTGTGTACATGTTATTAACTTATCCATGAATAATGCTTCAGTTCAGAAAGATAAAGAGGATGTCATGGAGAGTGTGATCACTGCTCCTTGATCTGCTGTATGATACATTGTTAGGTTATGTGCTGACCAAAAATATTACCAAGTACCACCCATTTAACAAATAAACAGAGATTTTCCATTTTTTGTACTTTTTTTTACTGGGCTCCAAGCTTTCTGTAAAGTTGTGATCATTACAACATCTTTTGGTTTATGAGAGAATAGACAATGGAAAATTGTTTACAAGAACAGTCAGAGTTGTGTTTGGGAGATGAGGGAAACAAACTCTGTCATCATTACATCATTTCCATGGTCCATACTCTCACAGACCATGGTTCTCTGCCAACGGGTGTGTAAGAAATCACTTCTTTGAATGAGTTCACAAGCAGCAAGATCCATCAAACAAAGATTGCAATAATGAATCAAACATTTAAAGGACAGAACTGAATAGAAACTTTACTCCATATTGATGGTCATTATCTGATTTCAGTGTAGTAACAAGTAGTGAATGGTAAGGGGTACTCATCTGCAAACTTGGAAGTGGGGGTGTCTTTTGGGAAGAGCACTTAGCGCATGAGTGCTTTTCCTCAGATGTGGGTTTTCATTACATGGTTTCCATCCTAGAATAACATCTCCACTATGATACAGTTCAGTGAAACTAGTGATGGCTTAACTAGTTAGTAATCTTGGCTTCTGTTATGTAACTCAATCATCAAACCTGGGAAGGAGGAGTTGAAAGAAGGGGGTACTCTCAAGTAGCTAATTTGAAGAAGCTTGTTATGACTCACATGGAAGCAAACAATAAATTGTGTCTGCAATACCGAAACTTGTTTGGGATTTGTCAACGATAAGTATACTAGCTGAGGACATAACAGTAAAAACTGCGACTTTCCTCCAAACACTGATATCACTTTGCATGATATCTTTCAGCTTATCTACATAAGCTTTTTAGTTATTACATAACCTTTTTCCAACCTCATGCATTTATCTGTTAGCCTGGGTGGAGAGAAGCGACGACCAGAAATACGTCTGTGTCCGCAGGCTAGTTGCATGTAAGCTGCTATTTTTTTGTGAGGCAAATGGTTTCCAAACAGCCTAATTAATTTGATCCCTCCATCAAATATTTGCTGAGTGACCTAGGGAGTTAACGTCTTGCATAAAAGAGACAATTCTCAAAATTCAATGTTCAGCTTTCTACATGGCAAAAAATACCTTAAATCTAAAGTCCCTCTCGGGGAGGTGAAAAAAGGCATTCAACTTCTGTAGAATTTCAAATTTCGTATTATCAATTTTTGACTCTTTTCACTGCTTTCTCTGTCATTCAAGCAATTGGAAAAAATCATTGATCAAAAGTGGAAGATGGATTGTTCCTCCTCCCTGGTTTGTTCTTCAAGCCCCCCTTCTCTCCTATTTCTTTGAAGAACAAAATCATAGCCAGCTGTTTATGATAGTGTATTTTTATTAAGCAGTTCATAAATTATACACAACTATTCATTATCCTGTAGAGCTTGTGAAAGGAATAATTTTCCAAAGCTGTGGGTGGCAAACTGGTTGATTTGTTTACTGTATGTGTTGACTTGCTGTGACAGTAAAAGGTAGTCAAGTCGTGAGGGCGACTGTAAGGGTTTGAACATCTTATTCAGGTCATCATCAGGGAGAGGAGCTTCACCACGATGTTGTCTTGAAGCATTTTCAGCTTGCTAAAAGAAAAAGCAAAACAAAACATTTTGGACACAATGCAATAATAAAAAAATGATAATGTCTCTGAAAAACAACCACAATAAAAACGTTGATGTGACCATTCTCAAATTCTCACCCACAAATTCCCCACTTTCTGTGCTGAGAATTGACAGGATTGTGAAATTTAAAATTAACAAGAATCTTACTTTTTCCAAAAATGACAGTCTCACAGACCTATCTACATCCAATATGCCTGTTTGGGTCAAGACAGTTTGGCCCCCTGGCTGTGCTATTGCAGTCTAACTAAATTTCCTGCAGTGAAAATTATTTCTGCCATGTTGCTCTTTCTAGCTAAAAAATGGTCTGTTTTCAACTTAAATTGATTTTACCCTTCTCTGAGTATATGCTTCCTTCTGCTGCTGCTGTCTTGCAACATTACGCAGATGATTATTGAACTTATTGGCATCTTGACAGAGTTCATCAACACCCTCCATGAGCAGTCGTACATTCTTTTCTAAATAAGATCTGCAGTAAATGACAAATTAATGAATTTTAACATCATCATAATCACCTTGGTGGGTATCACTAAATGCATAAAAGAGGAAACTGGGAAGGAAGGTTAAGACCCAAAGAATAAAAAATAAATAATGATATAAAGGTAGCACAACACTTAGTGGTTCTTCATCTATCTGATTCCTACTTGAATTAGAATTTGGAAGTGTTGGTTTTTGAGGAGAGGGGAAAACCGGAGAAAAAAGCACTCAGAGCAAAGAAGAGAACCAACAACAAACTCAACCGACATAATGACATCTGAATGCTGGGATTTGAACCCAGGCCACATGCACCACGGTTGCTGCCCACATGATTCATACCTAAAGGTTATCAATTTTGTGTTTGATGGGATACATCAAAATGTTAAATATATAAAAAATTAATATTTTCCTGAAACCTTATAAGGCAGAGTAGATTGTCGACAGACCTTGCAGTTTCTCTTACAAAAGTATGAAAATAAAAACTGCGGGGGACTTGCTGACAGCTATGGTAATGCACGTCTCTCGACAGGCTAATCACAGGCATGCAAAATGCCTCCCGTGCATGTAAATGCATAGCCAGTATTGAATATTTTTATCCATAATTTTTGTCAGAATTTCTGACACAAAAATGAAAATAACATTTCTTCTGTTCTGTAAACATACGAAGAATTGCTATACTTTAACTCTAATGGCATTATCTTATCTTCTGTGGTCATAAAAATCGAAAGGTGTTAAGCTACACTATCCTGCGACAGTTTTTGTTACTTGTTGAGTTTTACTAGCACCTTGAAGTTTAAAGCAATAATCTCCAATTAGTGTTTCACAAATGCTACATAAAAGTAGGTAAGAATTTTAATCTAATAAAAATATCTTTCTTACCCTGTGGAGAGACTGAGAAACTCATCTGTTTGGGTATGAGGTGACAAGACTTCAATTTCACACAGCAGAGTATTGACAAGTGAAGAGTTCCTTATAACAAGTGGAATCTCTTCAAACATTGCCTCAAAACTGAGACCACTTTTGGCAAGCCTGAAAGATAACAAAAGAAATTTTACCCAAGAGCCATGCATGTACACAAATGGGGTAAATCAAGTTTTTACTTCGCCTAAAAGATTTGGCCGGTTTCAAACTTTGTGCAACAACATCCAACAGGGTACGCAAATGGACGAAACATGTAACATCCTACATTGTTGGGAGTTGTTGGCAAACAATGTTGCCTCCATTTGCACATAGCTCAACTCCATTTTTTTTCTTAACAATAATCTTAATGTAATATATTTCCTTTATTTCTTAGTTTTCTTTTCTATTCAGGGATATTCCATAGAGGAGACTCAATCTTGTGCAAACTTAGCACTTATTTTAAAGCTCTGTGTCATTCATAGAGAATGGTTGAAAAATAACAACATAACAACATTGACAGTTTTTAATGTCCATTTTCAGTGAAATTTCTTGGAAAATCACACACAAGAGAAAGAGAAAAACAAATTGCACCATCATCACATCATTTCCATACCCAATCTTCTGCACAATTAGCAGCTATTTTAAAGCCCTACGTCCTTCATATAAACATAACAACATTGACAGTTTTTAATGTCCTTTTTGTGAAGTTTCTTGGAAAATAATGCACAGGAGAAAAAGAAAAACAAATTGCACCATCATCACATCATTTCCATGGTTTACAATCTCACTGACCAATCAGCATGGAGTTTGCTCTTTTATTGTACAATAATATGGGACTTGCACAATATGGGTTCTACAATAGTGCTCCAAGGTGGCAACTTTAGACTGTTTAATGTTTTACAACGTCCCCCTTCACTGAACAAAGAAAAAAGTGTCTCACTTTTCTGCATTAAATTCTGCCTCTTTATACATTGCCATCATTTTATCAGACAAACGAAACACTTTCAAAGACAGCATTCCTTGTGAGGTCTTCCATGGATCTAAAACAACAAAAAAAAGACATGGTTTTTTATCTATTTTTCTCTTCTTATAACAGTGCTAAACTTGGAAACAACATGATGAGTACATGTAGTTTTGGTCTCTTTTAGCCAGATGGTGGCCAGAAAATGGCTTGGTTACAAGTTAATTCAGGAACCCTTTCTCTAAGGCCTTATCCACATGTATCCCTTTTTTTTGAAAACGAAAATTTTTTTCTCTGCTTTCAAAAAAAAAAATCAGTGTCCAGAGGCTGTGTTTTTTTTTCAGTGACTGAAAATGGCACCATCTTTGATGGGAGCAATGCATGCGTTTTTACTGGTATCCAACACCAAGAAATAAACCTCCATTATACAGGAGTACAGCTAAACAGCGTTTTCAAAAATATCCTCTCTGGAAAGCTTTTTGAAAGGATGCATTTTCGGCGACACTTTTCACCGGATATGTGTGGATGGTAGGCCAAACCAGAGGAAAAAATCTTGGTTTTCAAACAAAAATGGACACGTGTGGAAAGGCCTTAAGATTCCTTATAATCTGCATTGTCTTCAAGGAAAAGTGAGATATAGTAAGAATCACAGAAATGTTTTTATCCCTATGAAGTTTGACTTCTTGAAATCTGGATTTTTCTTGACATCAATCCAACAGACTGAGCTAGGAGGCTAATCTGGAGCACTCATTAAATTTAAGCAATAAAGTTATGGCACTGATATAAAACTTGTTGCCATGAACACATCGCCAAACAAACAAACAAATAAACTGCTCACCATAAATAAGTACCACTGATTCCTCAATAGAACTCTGATAACTGAATTGTGAGTCCAGTAATGTTTTGTTTACAAATGAACCAAGGTAAGTTGACTGATACCAGCCCACATGTAGATGGTCTACATTGACAGCTCGTAAACGACGCATCATCTCCATCTGGTAGTTTACTAAGAAGGAACATACATAAAGTAATATTCAGGGTTTTATGGACATTTAAGAGCTTACTTGTCAATTCATAATTCGATCAGCATCGTGTGGCATTTGGTGTTTCCCCAAGCCTTTTCGGTCAATTCACTTCAGTGAACCAAATAGCATTTAACGCATGGAATTGTGAGGCCTGCAAGCAGAGCTTCACTTTGTCTTCTTGAGTGAGGAGGAGAAAAGGAAGTTCTGCCTGAATCACATCAACCGTTTGAAGTCACCGCAGCCCGAACTTCTGGACTAGTCAACCTTGTTTTCTCTCATCAAACTGGTTAATTATTTTTCTTTGAGTGCATTTATGTGTTTTTTGATAAACCGATGGTCATAAATGACCCCGCTGTGGCAAGCGCGTCGTTATTAGGCCTGGGTCTGAAACTATGTCTTAGCCACATGCCGTGCATGCTTGACAAAGATCTTACTTGACTCATGCAGTCTTCCTGGATCTAAGCAAGCCAAAATCAAGCAAGCAAAAGAAAGCCTCTGCTTGTAGGGTGATGGTATATGTGTTCCCCTCTGAAAATTCAAGCTTTTGCTTCTTAGTTTTCTTTGCCAAGGGGGACATCTTCCAGTTTCTTGGAAATGTTATTTACTTTAATAAGAAATCTCTAAAAGAGTCTCTCTTCCAGGGCCTTAATTTTTGGGCAAAATGCTCTAAAAGTTCTTTAATAAGAAAAAAATTATATGTGTAAATGCCACATGAAGAAATTCAGCCCCTGTTTTTTGAATTTTCTGGATTTGTTCCTGGTTTTCAATGCAAACATGGATTTTCTCGCATGTAATAAGGTTCTCACCATCGTCTTCGTCATCATCTTCTCCAACTCGCACTGATGGGAAAGCAAAGCAGTTTGTTATCTCAAGTTTATGGTTTTGAATCAATCCAAGTAAAACTCCCTGAACAAGTTCGCCCGCTGATCCTTCATCTTGGCAATGTTTAATAATTTTCAGCACAACCTTGCAAAAATAATGGTATGAACAAGTCAAAAACAGTAGCTAGATAAAAAAAATAAATGTTATTGCAAAAAACAAATCGACCACAATTTTCCATCGTCTACACTCTTATAGACCATAGAAATGACGCCATAACATGTTCAAAACTTCGCCTGCGGTTCGTGGTTCCTCTTAAGTTTTATGACGTCATTTCTATGATCTATAACAGTGTAGCCCAAGGAAAATTGTGGTCGATTTGTCAAACAGAACTTCATCGATGATAAAATCATGGATCACGTGTGCACTAGTTTTCTAAATTTTCTCCCAAAAAGACACCAAATACGTTCCAAAAAATTACAAAGATTTTTTGGTTTAACTGATATTTACCAGTCCATCAACTTGGACGCTATCAATGCGACTTGTAGAACTGGAGGAACTTGAATTTTCCGCATGGGAAGAACGACTCCTTTCCGCCATTTTGTGGAATCTTCTTGACGAAGAAGCAAATTTCCGCGTTGGACTGGGTATGATAATAAGTCGGATTTTACCGTGTGTAATCGTGTATACTTCGGACTGTCATCGGCGATGACGTAATGGGAGCCGCCTCGGCACAAATAGGTTTTCTTTGTACTGTTGATCTTCAATTTCGTCCGTCCGGCGAAAAATGTTAGGAAACTGTTGATATTGCTACTCAGTTGATATTGCTGGCATTAACTTCCACTTGTGACCCTTCTTTTTCTCAACATTCACTTGAAAGTGCAAGGTCAATTTTTGGACTTTCGAATAAGGGACTGTCATTGAATGGCATGGGTTGTGTTTACAGCAAGCAGAGAAGGCACGAAGCGAACGGAAATTTGAAGAACAAGAAGCACAAAAAAGCTCAAAGTTTCGATAATGTGAATGCCGATGATAGATATCCACGGAATCATGAACCATTACCAGATATTCCAGTGGAAAATGAAATTCAACATCCGCCGGCGGAACAGAAGCTTCTGTTTGTCGCGCTTTACGACTACGACGCGCGAACGGCCGAAGATCTGAGCTTCAAAAAAGGTGAAAATCTTGAAGTTATAAACAACGAAGGAGGCGACTGGTGGCAGGCAAGATCGCTTGTGACGAATGCTGTCGGCTACATTCCCAGTAACTATGTCGCTCCTGCTTCTTCTCTTAAAAGCGAAGAGTAAGTATTTATATATACTGTAGCTTTCAAAAATTGAGTTAGTCAACGCCGGATAAATTCGGTGTTAGTGTGCATTACATTCATTCACTTCTTTGCTGACATTTCGTCCTTCACCGAACTAGAAAATACAACTTTCACTTGAACGAAGGTTTTTCATTTTAAACTTAAAGTGAACACTTTCAGTCATTGAAATTCAATCATTCCTAATTACCACAGCGTTCACTGAAGACTGTGCGGATATTTTAAACAAGCTTCTTATTCCTGGTTATTTTGTAGTGTATTTTTTTGCTAGAATACCTTATATTTGTTAATTTTAATGTTTCGACTTTTAACGGTCGTCAAATGCTTTCAGTTCCGTTTTGAAGGTCCATGTTAGACAAAACCTGTTTATGGACTTGAGCATTGTACTTGTAGATTCCAAATGGAAACAGTAGGGAATTTCAACGGAATGCTTTAATGAATTAATTCTAAAACAATTAGAAAATTACCTCGTTCTTTGCTTTTCCAGAAGATTTCACAATAAAAGTGAAGTATTATACCTATGAAAATGAAATTTACAAAACGTGTAATTGGTTTACAACGCCTACTGTACATGGATTAGACATTCATGAAGATAAAGCATTTCTCGCGTGATTCTACATTTATAATTACGGAATATGTGACTAAGAAAAACCTTTTGCAAATGTTATAACCAAAGCAGCGTTCCTGCTAATTTATAGATCATAGTTTGAATTTTAGTGGAGAAATATTACGTCAAAATTGAACACGAACTAATCTTCTACAGACGTCAAAATTGAATGCAAACTAATCTCAGTTGCCACAATTTCCGGTTCTTGAAAGTAGAAATACAAAGAACAACAAAGGCTGATTTTGAGTGGTTCTTAGAACTCACTGCACTTAGGAAGAAATACGTTCTAGCTTGGAGTTTTCCTTTATATGTTTATCATATATCTATTGTGTAAATACTTCACTACTAATAGAAGATCACACGTGGAGTTTTGACAGATACATAACTTACTTATATTTACTTTTATACTTCAAATAACTTTGTATAAACAAGATTAAAGACCCCTCTGGATTTATGCATAAAAAAGACTGCCATTAGCTATTGTATCAACTAAGACCTCCAACAAAAAGTTTTGCTCCTTGGTAGCCAGCTAAGAGAGAGTAGTTTGCTTCTAATCCTATATATTTGAGAGAAAATTGAGCTTATTTAAAAGTCAAAACTAACTGACAAAGTTATCGTAGTGCAACAAAGATTTATTCAAATATTGCTTTTTTAAAAAAGCTTAAAAAAGCCAAACGATGAATAGGTCATGTCCTTGCCCGCTTGTGTCAGATGATTAATGTACTGGCCGACACATTCTTGTTTCATACAAGCATGACCGTGGAAGTTGTTATTATTATTTATGTCAAACATTTAAGTCTCTCAGTTTCAGTTTTCTCAAGTTTCAGCTAAAATGTGAAGCAGTAAATGAAACTCAATCATCCTTATCAGGTCATAAAAAACCCACTTGTAAGAAAATAAAAGCACCAGATTTAAAGCGGACACCTTTTTAAATATTTAATTTTGTTAATTGTAATTCATTATTATATATTAAATAGCCAATGAAAAGTTTATCCTGCAATGGTGAAGAGGTGATCCCCTAGGTAGGTAGTTAATAGACACTCTAAAAGTTTGACAAAACATTTAAGTTCAACTACAAAAGTTAAAAACCTTTCTACCCAATCAATGTTTACTATAATATTATAAACAATGAATAATCAATAACCATTGAATACATGGATAGACTATCAAAATGACTGAACACACCAACAGCTTTAATTGAAAAACAGATGGCGTGTACTGCCAATAAGGAAAGTTGGTTCTATAATAGGATATTTTTGGGCAAAAAAGATATGTGTTAACCAAGACTAGAAAAAGCGTTGATTTGAAGTCATGGGATTGCCTTGTGTCCATGAGGCCCAGCACCATTTCTGGTGGAAAAAATACATTCGTGAGTGAAGAATTAATTCAAAAGAAAAAGAATGACTGTCAAATTATTGATAAGATAGGGTTTTTCTTGTGGTTGCCAGTTTAGTTTCAAAAACACAGTGGTAATACTAGTAGGTGTATTGTGAGACGGGCATTAAAAAAAAAAAAAAAAAATGTAGCTCTTTGTTGGATAAGCTCAATAGCAGAAATATCCTTTGAGGTATTATGGTGAGCAGGTAGCACTGCCTGCATGCAATTATTGCCTTCAATATGAGCTCTGCTTTATGCATGTAATAAAAATACCGTATGAAATAGTAAGTTACTTAATATTTCATACGGTATTTCTAAATCTCTCTAATAACTGTTATTAGAGAGATTTAGAGTAATGTTTATGGCAAACAGAAAACATGGATTTGTACCGCGTGACCAAGCTTCCCCTGTACTTGTTGTTTACTGTTCATCATTACTACACAGAAACCATTAGTTTCATGCCCTTTTTAAACATTTGAATTGTTTTTGAACCGTTTTTATCAGCTCAGTCTTATTGGAGAATTTTTAAACTTGAATCTGCCATTTGCTGAAAACATGACTCTAAATCTCTCTATTAAATCTGTTGGTGGTATAGCTTGCACAAAAGTGTAACTTGTGATCATCATTCCAATATTTTCACATCATGGTTAAATAATCTTCTTAGGTGTGATGGAAATTTATGTTAGAGTACATTAACTATAGAAATAATCAAGAAAGATAAAGTGCTATAAATTATGATTATGATTAGTTAACTGGGGTTTATATAATAAATTATTCTGTTATCCAGTTTTTTGGTTTATAAGGTGTTTAAGTGTCTTAATAAATAATGATGATAATGAAATAATAATAATAGTAGTAGTAGTAATAATAATTGTATTGAAAACATAGGGGTGAATCTCAATGCAAGATACAATGAAAACAGTAATGCGTGACATAACAACGCTCAACTTGAAATCTCCACAGTCATGACTTCACAAAGCCTTCTTATCCACAAATACCAAAGGTCATTGATATGCAATAGAAAATAATGAAAAAGCTTAGTTTACCACTGGAGTTAAAAGCTTATTCAAGCTTTCAGATGAAAAGCGTTATAACATCTTTGGAAACGTATAAAAATATAAAAACCATGCACTGTAGTGAAACCTGAATACACTTCATTTACATGGATTTCTAGACTTTGCTAACACTAGTATCTTACTGAAAACTCATCCCGTACTAAGCTGAGATTAGGCTCTACTTCCATCTTGCTTTCCGGCCACAAGGCAAATCGAGGAGTTGTAACATTTAGTACAGTACTTGTGTACCTGAATTACATGTGCTTGCAAATCGAACAATGATTGTTGCATTACTTGCATGTGCATTCACATGATTACCGTGATGTCAGACGGACCTTAAGCTTAACACCAGGGTCTTTGCGGTCACATTCCGTGCATATTAGTCGGTACAACATGGGCATCCCAAGAAGGTGGACAAAATTGTGGAAAAACCTCACTATACAGTTTATGAAGTACTGCTGACCAAGAATAGTTAGCCTGTGTACAGACGTCCCCACTCCCTCAGGAAAAATCGGGAGAGGAGATGTCTGTGAATCGCCGTCGTTAATCGTGTTCCGGTATAAATTTACATAAATTATTTTTTTGTTCTTTCGCTGACAGTTGAAAAGGCACAGGTAGGTCGAAAAATAGCTCTGGCGTCTGTGCACAGGCTAGACGAACATCTTCTCGTTGAAGATGATTACAGTCAAGTCAGGTCAAGCGTACCTCCCAAGATCCATTAATGTATTTATTATTCGAAATTAAGTTGAACCGTTGGTGGTTGTAGATTTCAGATTCATCTCTGTGTGCATTTTTGCATGCTTAATGAGCCGTGAATCCACACGCGATTTAGTTAGAAAATATCTACCAGCTCAGTTTCCCTGAATTCAAAGATTTTCAATCTGACCAAATGCAGAGAAGTTCTCTTAAAATATTCACTGCTCATTACGCATACAGGAATGCCGATTTAAATTTGACACCAGTTACGGCAACGACTAACGGATTCACTTTTTCAAATAATCAATTCATTAATAGAATCTTTTTGGGGTAAGCTTGACTCGCGGCCTTGGCTGTTAACGTTGGATTTTGTATGCCTTCTCTTTTATTTACAATACCGAACGGTACAGACAGATGCATCCACAACCGGTGCAGCAGACATCGGTGGTCTTACCTTCTCATGTCTTTTCGATAGAGCCGAAATACAAATACCGGTAAACAAATATGAATGTCCACAAAGGCTGAGCTTTTCCCCGGGGAATCTATTCTGAGGTTCATTCACCAATCACAACACCGGAAATTATTTGCGTCATGGCATTAACATTACAACCAATCAGGGGCTGTCCCCAACATTCCGGGGAAACGGGAACAAGATTATCGTCGGCGATTCACAGACGTCTCCTCTCCCGATTTTTCCTGAGGGAGGGGGGACGTCTGTACACAGGCTAAGAATAGTCTGTGGGCTCACTTTTGTTTGCCTGCAATAATAGTATGAATTTTTCCCATTCAATAAATGCTTTGCTTGATTTCTTTTCTTAGTTTGTTATTTGAATTAAGTTTTGAAGTTAAGTTTTGAATTAATTTGTTTGTGTTTTGCGCATTTGATCATATTTACATGTATTTTGCACAATATAAATATTAAATTATTATTATTAATTATTAACTCCTTTTTAGATGGTTCTTTGGGCCAATCAAGAGAGTTGATGCTGAAAAGATGCTCATAATGCAAGGGAAAAGCGGTTCATTTCTGATCAGAGAAAGCGAAAGCAAACCGGGGGACTATTCGCTTTCTCTGAGAGATGGAGAAATAGTGAAGCACTACCGCATTCGATCCTTAGACACTGGAGGCTTTTACATTGCTCATAGAGCAAGGTTTGCAACATTGATTGAGCTTGTTGAACATTACCAAGCAAATGCTGATGGACTTGTAATTAAACTGGACAAACCTTGTCCCACACTTGCTACTCCTGCTCCCAAAGATCTTGCTTATAATACAAAAGACCAGTGGGAGATCCCTCATGAATCAATACGTCTTGTGCGCAAGCTTGGGCAAGGACAGTTTGGAGAAGTGTGGATGGGACTGTGGAATAATACCACCCCTGTGGCTGTAAAAACACTGCGTTCGCAAGTTAGCATGTCCCCCAAAGCATTTCTCTCAGAGGCACAGATCATGAAAAGGCTTCGGCATGACAACCTAGTACAGCTTTATGCCGTCTGTACTCAGGAGGAACCAATTTACATTGTGACTGAATTAATGGAGAATGGAAGTTTGCTGGATTATTTAAAAGGTCCAAGGGGAAGAGATCTTGGCCTTCCACAGTTGATATACATGTCAGGGCAAATTGCTGCTGGTATGGCATATTTAGAAATAAATAATTATATACATCGTGACTTGGCAGCAAGAAACATTTTAGTGGGAAAAAACAATGTAGTTAAAATATGTGACTTTGGGCTTTCAAGAATTATTGACGATGGCGAATACAATGCCCATGCAGGAGCAAAATTTCCCATAAAGTGGACTGCCCCTGAAGCTGCCTTGTACAATAAATTTACAATCAAGTCGGACGTCTGGGCTTTTGGTATTCTATTGAGTGAACTGGTAACTTATGGACAGGTACCGTACCCCTGTATGGGTAATGCTGAAGTGCTTGCTCAGGTTGAGAGAGGCTATCGAATGCCTCGTCATCCAAACTGCCCACCTAGCCTGTACCAAATAATGATGGATTGTTGGAAGGCTGAACCTATGGAAAGGCCAACATTTGAAACTCTGCAGTGGCGATTAGAAGACTTCTTTGTTATGGACACCACAAACTATGCAGATTATCCAGAATCTTGATAGTTTGACTAGATAAAAGCAGGGATTATTCAAGTGTCTTATAATCTGATTGTGGCATGAAATATTTGCATGAGCTAATTTTCATAATTTTTGTAGATTTTCTAAGTAATTACACAAATAAAATCCTGTAAAAATAAACTTTTGCAAAAAGAAAAAAAAAGGGAATTTCAAAAATTAACTCAATGTAAATGTTACTGAATTTAACTTTAATCGGATGAGATCAAGATAAAGATCTTTTTCCAATGACTAAATTTGATAGCAACTTACAGCATTCCTGCTGCAGAATGCAACTACATTCACAACAATTTGTTCCCGGCTATCAAGTCTGAAATTTAAATTTGCAAAAAAATTGTTAATGCTAATTGCAAACACATAAATATGTGTAATCCTCAAAATTGGACCTGTGCAAAAATTTCATGTCACAGGGTAGAGCAAGAGAAAGAGCTCTATATTGTTCTCCTCATGTTGATGGCCATCTGAGAAGCGAGAAGCAGTCAAGTGCTGCCATTTAAGAGTTAAAGAGTTGTAATTACAAAGTTTCCTACAATTTGGTCTCATTACCTCAAGATTAATGTACAGCAGTCTTGACTTTGTTTAAGTGTCTAACGTTCATTACGATTTTTGATTTGTTATCATTTTGTTATTTAAAATAGCTAAGAGGTTTTTTTTCTGCAAACTTGGCAATTTAGGAAAAAAAGTTTCATTCTTCAATGCAATTATGGTTATGCATATTTGCATTGTACTGTGTTATAAAGGGTGCGTAAGATGGATAATAACTTTGACCTGACAATGGAAGAACAAAGAATTAGAGGCTTGTTACAATGGAGCACCTCCTGGAAGCTGTTAACTGACATGTCATGATATGTGATGGAATTTCTAGCTGTGGCCTTGCCACTGAAACTACATCCTTAGCTCAGAATTATAGCACAACGAAAGCCCATTACTAAATTGAAGCTTGTAAGCCACTACCCTCTGTTGTGATTCAAGAAACAAAGCTGTCATCATTTGTAGGTCTGAAGTTATGGTCATCAAACTGCTGTTATTGCCAGTAACTGTCATTTTGAAAACATCTCAAGCACTGGGTCACTGTGACTGAAGATAACTACCTAGTGGAAATGCAACTGTCAACATTAATGGTCATCGTTTGATCTTTATGTACCCAGACTACAGTGTATCGCAAATTCAGTCTGTTTTAAAACTCTTCAGCTGCCTAGAGTTCCTTGCAAAATCCATATTTCGGGGAAAAAAAGACCCAAATTTGATTTTGGGAAACAAAATTGATGGTATCAGAAAAAAGCAACGACAAAGGGAATGAACAGCAAGCAATACACCAGTTTGTTATCTCAGAACTCCCATAAGCGGATATCCTTGGGATTATAACAAGCGTCCGATTGGGAGAGTTGTAAAAATCCAGTGTCTGTATGTTGCAGGGGACTTGGTCTAAGTGTCGGCTTAGGAGAGCTGCCGTCCTATGGGACGAGTCTGTCAGTGCACGTTTAATGTACCTTATTGCCTCGGGCTATGTTCAGACGGCACCCGACGAATTTTCGACCGGTGGAAAATTCATGCATTTAGGTGTTCCGTTCATACGGAACCACGTTAGCTAACCAACGAGAACTTGGACGCCTAGCCGTTCAAAGTTTCGTGTGAACAGAGCGAAAGATCAAACGGTTTCGTGTGAACAGAGTGTCCGTTTAAAGTTTTCAGCCGGTCGAAAATTCGTCCAATGCCGTGTGAAGAGAGTAAATGGCTAATATTTTTTTTAATTGAACAGTTAGTGAAATATAGTGAAATGGAAACACTCTGGTCTTGAAAAGATCGAAAACATGCGCTTGCTTTTTTGCTCATGTGTTTAAAGAGACTGTTTTGTTATACTTTTGCCAAGAAAATGTGATTTTTAAGGCATATAAGTTAGCTTTTAGTAAAATAATAATAATAAAAAATGACCTTCGTTTTTCGTTAGTTAAGTGGTAAGATTTTAGATGTTCAAAAACTTTATTGTACTATTAGAGCTTTTACAGAAATTTATACCAAATCGCCGGAAAGGCTGAAAATAAAATTATGACAGTGCAACATTGAATGATTACTTCCCAGTTTGTTTATGCAATACGGTGGGATATCGGTTATTTGCACCTCGGGGGAGACCTAACGTCCAGGTATTAAACGTTTCGGGCTCGAAATCGAAATTTAGGTAATAAAAGCGGGTGTCCTATACCAAGCTAACAAACGAGTCCATTTTGTTTTGTTGACTGATAGTTTTTCCATAGCTGCAAAAAATGAATCGTCTTTAAATGTAAACTATAGACTGCAAAACAGTCCGTATTTTTGCGTATTCGAGTACGCGCGAGCAGTCAAACAAACGGGTCTGGAACGAGACCGAGCGAGACCTGGGGAGAGACGCTGTCGCCTCTCACACCCTACAGGCGTGTGAGGCGCGCGCGCTTTGCGCGCGTAAGACTCTTACGGCACGCTTTACCGATTTCTTTACTGACTTTGAGAAAAAGAAAACCGACTGTTTTGCAGTCTATGTAAACTACAGCTTACCGGACTCGAATTATCGGGACCTTCGAGATACGCGCCCCTGGTTTGAATATGGGGCTTTAGCATACGGGACAGCGAAGGCATGAATGAATTTGCGCTGCTACCCTCTTCTGGTTCAATTTGTCAAATTTGTCAATTTGGTGAATTCTTCTGGATTTGTTTCTAAAGGACTGTACATGTATCAGAAATTAAGTAGACTGCAAAACAGTCGGTTTTCTTCTCAAAATCAGTAAAGAAATCGGTAAAGCGTGCCGTAAGAGTCTTGCTCGCGCGCTTCGCGCGCGAGCCTCACACGCCTGTGTGAGGCGAGAGAGCGTCTATCCCCAGGTCTCGCTCTCTGTTTTCAACCTCGTTCCAGACCGCTCGCGCGTACTTGAATACGCAAAAATACGGACTGTTTTGCAGTCTAGAAATTAAGAAAAAAAGTTTAATCGTTTTTTCTTGTTCACTTCACGCCCTTCATAAAACACTGAGGCGAGTCGTGAGTTGAAAATACGACGCGCTGCGAAGTATTTTTGACGATCTTCGCGGTGTTTCATCGGGTGATGAAACACTGTCGAATGCTTGATATTACTTCTCAAACAAAATGGTTTTGGAAGGAGAAATTAAGGTTTCCAAATTGAGCAGTTTTTCATCACATTTCAAAACACTCACAAACATTTCCTTTGTATTTTCTTTATGAGTTATTGAGGAGTTTGAGAAAGAAATATGAAAGAATGGCACGAGAGACGACAGACGTATGTTTGCGAGTGCTAAAGGAAAGCAACAAAAGTAGAGTCGACTGCGACTGTAATGATCATGTCACAGGGAGTCCCATATTACCTTTTCGGGATTGTCGTGTGCACTGTTTTCCGTCAACCTTTCTCGAAATAGCTGTATAACGAACCTCTTTGAATCGTTACGAAGACCAGGGTATAACGGACAGAAAGTTTTTTTTACTGCAGCTATCGTAAAATTCAATGTATGGGATCAGAATCCAATGTGACAAACCCTTTCTTGCTCCCCTTGGCACTCGTTACATACCGGCCGGGGTTCCACTATATCTCTCTTAGTCAAGAGGACCGGGGGGTGCACGGCCCGTACTTGGGTACAGGTGAACGGAAAGCCGCTGAGGATTTAAAACCCTGACGCTGTTTCGGATGACAACCGCAACTTTATTACACTGTTTAGGACAAAGGACAAAATGCAAGCCCTCTTTAAAAATTATCGATTGGTAGAGCAATAGAGCAAATTCACGTGAATTTCATAAAGCAAATCAAATCAATCGTCCAGGCAATAAAAACCCTGTTTATGATGAGGACGGACTTGCACGAAATTATATACCATGTTTAGGACAGACTAGTGCCAAATTATATGCCCTGTTTAGGACAAGAGGACAGAACCATACCCTGTCCAGCAGCACATCCCCGTCTAGGCCATACAAGGGATTACACGCAAGTATAGATACCAAAAATGCCTTTATTTCTTTAAAAAAGTACAATTAGATTGCCACAAACAAGGCTTCCCTAAACCTCAACGTATTACTGAATTGTCTTTACTCTTAAAAATAAGCCACAAAAGACAACTTCATGCAAAATTACATTTTAAAATTCGACACTTAGTTCATCCCTATAAATAGGTATCAAATACCATTGAAGTGTAATTACAAACTAGCCGTGCGATAACTAAAAACGTTTTAACTTCCTTGTAGATACACTGCAAACCGACGTTGACTAAAGAAACCTACATCACGCATAAAATGTTTACACAAACATAGCAGAAACTTTTGATCTTTTAACTTCGCGGTTAATATCGGTATACACTGGCGCTATACAAGCACTCGCAAAGTTTGAAACAAGCAAAGCAAGTCGAGTGGTAAAATATACAACAAATGTTACTTTAAAGGAAATTGAAAAAAAGACAAAGAAAATAGACGAACAACAAACTGATAATTAAAACAAATGTTGAAAAGTTTTCGACCCGTTATTATTAGTGCGTTCGGTCGATGTTCTTCATTGATATAAGAATGCTCAGAAAACTGGTATAATATACACCGCGAGACAAACAATTTCCCGGAGTAAAAAGAGCGGCTACGCTTGTGTGTGTTTCACGCGTTACACTCCAAGTGCACCTATATATTTTTGTTTGCCTAAATTTAACGTGGCACTCAATCAGAAACCAGTCAGCACGATGCAGCCTGCATGAGGCGCGGACGCGAAGCGCGTGAGGAAGGAAAAAAGAAAAAAAATTCCGCCATTTCAGTTTCTTTTTCCCCTCCTCTCGTGTGTCACGCGACCCAACTCTTTTGTCAGAGGGCCTCCAATGAAGCCTGTGTACGCTTCCTTTAAACCGTCTGACGTTTCTAGAAATGTTCTGACATTGAAATTTATCACGGGAAGAAGCAGTCACAAGTACGATACATTTCTCCGCACGTATAGAAGGCTTTACCCTCTGGAAAAACTCTCTATGTAATCACCGCTTTAGCAGATATCACTTTCAAAGACATTATTTTTATAGCTACCGATAACCTTAATGCCTTCAATTAAGGTTGCGCATGTTATTTTGTAGGTCAATTTATGTCTAAAACAATTATAATCATTCTTATACCGGCGGAATACGATCGATCGAACACACTCAAAGACGCCTCTATCTAACACAGCTTCTTAGCAAAAGCATTATCCGACTAAATGAAACTAACAAAGAAAGGAATAGAAATATTTCACGTTTGTTTTACCTCGTGCATTACCCCACAACTCAAGGGTTATGAGTTGGCTTGTCTCTCCCACTACCTAACCTCATGTTTCAAACCTTACTTATCCAGTTCTACAGAGCCACAAAAAGAGCATCCCCGGGACTCAAAATGGCACAATAAAAATAAAGATAAAGTAATTAAAATTTGTCTTTATCACGGCCTGGTATAATTTTCCTCAGAACGGGGGTTTTGACCACTAATTACTAGATGGTGACAGCATAAATGTTAGGAAAGAATAGCCCAACAATTTGAGGCTTACCACTTAGTTACGGCCTCGACACCAACTCGACGTGTAGAGAAGAGAAAGGATTGACTGTTCATGTTTTGCCAATTACATAGAGGGCAATTTTTCTTAAAGCATCCCACTGCAGAATACGGCCCTATGAGTAGCTTTCATTTTAATAACACTTTTTGACTGACTTAAGCCCTAGACTTGGTCATTTCAATCCTAGCCATGCACCCAACGGTATCCGTTACGTTAAAAAAGAGAGAGAAAGGAAGAGGAGACAAAAAATCAAACAAAAACAAACAAACAAAGTGGTCTTCGACCGCCACTTTTCGGCTTCTAAGGGATGGTCGATCGGGCAGGTTACATGTCATCCTTGGTACAATGGAAATAAAAAAGATACATAGAAATTGGTCCTTAAACCTCAAAAGTACTGAACTTTCTACTAAAATTACCAACGAGGAAGGACAGCGCTTGAAACCTTAGATCATGGACAGTTCGTCTTGATCACCAAGAGGAATTTTCTCGGAATCTTTGTAAATTTTCTTTCCTTTCCTTGAGCGGTCGCTAAAAATGACGTCGGGGGAATCTATAGAAAAACAACATACGACACGGAAAGGTCATCATCACCATCATAAATAAACTTCGAAGTAATAGTATCACTGTCATTTTGTTAACACCCTTCCTAAGTCGTGTGGAAGTGTAGAGTTTCTTTAACCTATGTTCTACTTAACGTATACAATTCACCGGTACAGCCACACTTTGATTACTGTAATGTAGTATGGGGAAACTGTTCTAAGAACCTTGGCGCCGCTCGCGTTCTGACTTTCTCTAATTATGACTGCAGTACTAGTGAATTATTTCAAAATTTAAAGTAGTCGAAACTTATCCTTCAGCGCACAGTTAGTAAAGCAATAATGATGCATAGCATTGTAAATAACACAGCTCCAGAATATCTGACTTCGCGTTTTGTTCGTCGCTGCGATTTAACTAGTTATAACCTTAGAGAGAATGAAGACTAGCTCGCTGTTCCACAACCCCGTGCTGAATTTTATAAAAGGAGTCTTTCTTACAGCGGAAGTGTGTTATGAAACAGCTTGCCTCTGGAGGTACGGCAATTGACATCCCCTAGTATCTTTACGGAAAATTAAGAGACATAAATTCCGATTGACAAATAATTTAATTAGCGATATTCTGTTTTTACAGACGGCCTCCTTGAAAATCAGGTGTTTTCTTTTCATCTTTATTATTTTAGTTTTTATCTTAGATTTTATATCAGTTAGGAAGTTAGTTTTTCTCCCCTTGAATGTAATGTACCTGAAGGAAATACCGTGTTTAAATAAAGTTACCTTACCTTACCTTACATTACATTATTGATTAATGACTTTCCTTCTAGACTGCGTACATCCGCCGCTTATCTCGTTTTGGTCTTTTTTTGTTCTTTTTGAGATGAAGAGGCGGTTGTACACAGACTTCTTTCGTTCCCACTCGAAAACGATACCGGAAAGGCCTTTTGTTCACACGTGAAACGCTGGTCGCCAGGATTCCAAACCTATGTGTAGCCACACCCACCCCCCGAAGAGGGAAAAAAGGGCGTTTATCTTTCTTCAAGGGAGGGTGCGGCTACACGTAGGCTACAGGATTTCTTGTTCTTTTTCCCCCGTTAGGCAGCGTGGCGTTCGTGAAAGATATAACGTAACAAGCAATCGGATCATACAGTAGACTTCTAACAGTCCCTTGGGATTCGGGATTGTCGCGCAGGCAAGCATGTTACATGAGAGGGAACAAAACCAATCCCGAAACAAAGCCATGTGAATAATTATAAGCCGTTTCACACCTCATTGTGGCGTGGCCGTTCACACTTCAAATCCATTCGGAATACTGAGAGCAAACCAAGCCCTATCCTGTGTACCAGAGGATTTCTTCTCGCCTGCGAATGGGTACTCCCGTGCAGACCGCAGGCAGGCACATCTTCACCCCGCGAAGGCCGAACCCAGTAGCGGCGAAGAAGAGAAGCCGCGCATTTAAAATTTTTGTAACCCAGGGTAACGTAGCCTCAGACACTAATATATAAATTTTCTGTAGTATTACCTGCTTCCATCTCGCCATGATAAACAACTTTCATTTCGTCATCCTCGTGGTATTGATCGCCCATTTGACGGTAGTGCTTCTGAAGGGACTTGTACTTCATGTAGAAGAATATCAAGCCGCCAAGCAAGACGAGTCCTGAAAGAAAAATCACAAAAGTCACAAAGATAGATCTTGCGTTTTTCTTCTAGCCAATAAAGTAGTACATTTGGATTTTTCATCGGAGAATAATAGTAAACCGTTTTCCTAACACGCAATCTGTGAATCCAGGTTTTCCGTCTTTTTCTTCCGTTCTCTTAGTATTACTATCAAAACTATAAAACATCGATTTTGAATGTAGGCACGGCAAAATAAAACTGCTCTCAGGCGGGCCCGGCAATTACTGGGACATTCCAGATACGAGCCCCAGGCTCCTTATCGGGGAAAAAGGGCGAAAATGGGGCGAAAGAGAAGAAAGAGACGAGCCGAGATGTGGATTAAGGAAGGAAAGTGACGTGGCTCGCTCGCCTTGCCGATTTTTTGTGCTCCGTTAATTAATTCGCCGTTTTGCATGAGAATGAAAAATCATCTCCATATCAAAGGCTGAGCACTTAACCTCGTTTTGATGCAGAGGCCCGGGAGAACTCGGAAATGGCCTATTAATTAGCAGAAATCAAAAGTTCGATCTGACAGCAGCTTTTTCTTAAGCACTCTTTCTTATAGCCTGCGAAAACAGCCCCTTCTCCTCGTTCCTCGCCGCTTGGGGCGTTTTGCGAGGAGGAACGTCTGCCACTCAGCGACAGAAATTCCATACTGATGACGTAAATCGATGTTCACATAATAAATTCGGTAGTCATGGGGCTCCAAATGCAAATATGTTCAATTTTACGTTTCTCCAGGTCGATTTTGGTAAAGTGTTGTATTCATGTCCGAGCGAGCTCCAGCAAAATTCAAATAATTCTTCTAGAGAAGTATATATACCACAAATTTTGACTGCTTTGTTATAGATTTATTGCGTTTATATTTGACCTTTGCAGCCATTTTCCTTATGTCTGTCATTCGTAGACAATGGCTAGAACAATATAACTATTCCGACGTCCAATCAGCGCTTATGACCAGATTCAAGACAGATTTTACATCATCAGTATGAAATCGCAGACGTCCCTCCTCGCGAAAAGTCCCCCAGCAGCGATGAGCAAGGAGAAACGTCTGTTTACGCAGGCTATCTTTCTTAAAACAAACTGAGGCAATTTGACGCTATCCAAACCTTACTTTTGAAAGGAACATCTTACCTAATAAAGCAAGAGGCACTGCAATTGCTAAATACGTCTTCTTTGAGCTACTGTCACTTGATCCACCCTTCAAAGCTCCAACGGTTGGTTCATTTCCTGGTTTGTATTCCGTGGTTTGGGTGGGAACATTATTGTTTGTTCCATCATATGTAAACAGCCGCCTAAAAGGTTGACAGCAGTTAGAAACATCAGAACCAAAACTCAATACCTCTTAATACAGGTACATCGGCAAGTTCTGGCGCTCTCTTGAAAAAACTATTTTGTCACAACATTGACAATACACGAACAAAGGAACTCTGAAAAGTATTTGTGAAATGCTAATATGAGTATAGACCTTATTCACGAAACCCGCCATCTTTATCCGCGCTTTAGGATCGCTGGGTTAAAAGAAATGTCAGGTGGTATTTCTGGGGCAAACAAGTGATAAAATTTGCCAATACGAGAAATCGCGGTCGAATTTGTTTATTTTCTCAAAACGAGAAGACGATTAAAGACTTGCGAAATGTAGAGTTCGAGTTTTGTCAAGTTCTACATCATTATTGCTTGCTGTAAGATAATAAGTTCTACATTTTCTGTTTTCCAGAATAAACAATTTGAATGATTCGACCGCGATTTCATGTATTGACAGATTTTTTGACTTCTATGCCCCCTGAGAAACCAAGCGAAATTGCTTTTATCAGTCTTTTATCTTATCGGTCCTTAACAAAGATGGTGGAAATCGTGAATAAAGTAAGACCAAGCGAAGCCTCTCTCAAGAGAGCTCTGCATGAGGAGAATTTACAAACGCTTTTAAATAGCAGCAACGGGGCAAAAGGACAGTAGATCAGGGGCACCCAACGTCAATTTTTGGAAAATACCTGTTCGGAAGTTGATTTCAGATCTAGAATTTTCGGAATATTATTTTGTTGTAAAATTTCTTGCTTGCCTGCCTCTCCTAGGATTTTCGAACATCTAAAAATGGTATAATTGCCCATTTTTAACGGATTTTTACCCTAAAAAGGTCACCTAGAATTTTCGGGAGGCTTTTTTTCTGGCTGAAATTTTCGAAAAGGTAAGTTTTGATCCCTAAATTTTCGGATCACTAGACTTTCAGCTAGGAAATGCGAACAGATGAAAAATTTTTCGGGGATAAAAATATGCCTATATCTATCGTTTAAATACTAAAATACGTCAACAACGCTATGTTTGTGTGGTTTTGAACTATATTCTCGTTGGGTGCCCCTGAGTACATTACTGTTTTAATTCAGCGTTTGGCTGCACAAAAGATTTGTCAAAAAGGGATGACCTCAAATGGAAATTAAGTGTAACATACTGTAAACTGCCAGAGGTTAGCATCCAATCCGATACTTTGAAGCCCTTATTGAGAGCTGATTTCGCCCGCTCCATTCCAAGACCTGCAGAACGTACCAGACATAATTTCAGGATCAACTCTAGAGTCTGTTACTTTTAGAGATATTTCACGGGTTCCCTTTCTTGATAGCGGGGTCATTTAAATCGGAGTAAACTATTGCAATGTTGTAAACGCGACCATCTAAGTAGCTCCATCACGATTGCCGTAAGCTCTTCAAATTTTCAACGGGACTAGGCAGGCTTTCGCTTAAGGACTGTTTACACAGGCGATTTTTGCTGCGATTCGTGCTGCTTCTATTGCTTCCCTGTATGTAGTAGATACCTTTAATAGGTCGTCCGCGGCCAGTTCAAGGAAAAATTCTACAAGTAATTTACAAGTGTGGCTATTTTTTTCATACTCAAAAACAATGACTACACTTGTAAATTACCCTCGTAAAAGCTTTATTTAACTGACCGCTGATGTAAAATCTTTCCTACCAAGACGGCAAAAATAATTTTTATCTCATCTCTCTCTCAACATCACGAAAATGTTTCCTCGAACAAATGGCCCTAATGCATATTTACGTAAGACGAGCAAAATTTCAGAACCAAATCTCGTTTGTGAACAAAATTCGTCGCATTTGCACTTTGCGCATGGGTATTCTTTTTGACTCTAACGTCTTGGGAATTTGAAAATGTAAAATGTCCCAACTTGATAATTTCAAAACGTCTGTCGTAACCATGCTGAATCGCCACTATTCATGCAACCATTCACAAGGCACAGGCAAGCCTAAATGAACCAATCAGAAGTGAATAAAAAACACAAAGCGGCCGCTATGTGGAAGAAAAGGCGTGTGAGCGAATATCAAACTTGGATTTGATTTTACTTCTGAGTGCTTAAAAAAAAATGGCACGAGATTATTTAGCAAGTCTCAAGGCGAAGAAACAGACAAAACGTAATTCGAAACCAGAACATTACCTGTGGCATTAAGCGGGGGGATAAGATCGAACTCAACATTGTGGCCTTTGACAACAACGGCAGCTAAACGAAGACTGAAAAGAAGCAGGAACAGAAGTTATCATACATAGGGATGTTTACAATTAGCAACTATGTTTCAACGATTCGCAAAGACGATTTTTAGCGCAACACAGGGTTTCAACATTGTCCCCATATTGTTTCGAGTAGTTACAACAGTTTTCCAACATTGCAATGCTGTGCTGCGCTGAAAATCGGCGTTGTGAATCGTCCCGTGTAACATCACCTTTAAGCAACATCGACGGCGACGGCAACGAAAACGTCACTTGAAAAGTAAATTCGCGCTGTTTCAAACTTTACCGCCCTTATTCCATCTCATTCAATTCGTCAAAAGTTGGCAATTTTTTCTGGAGTTGAATTCTAAAAGACTGTATCGAAGTTCAGGAAAAGAAAAAGAAAGTCGTTGTCTTGTGTTCAAGTCCTCCAAAAAACGTGAAATTGGGCATCTTCACATCGTGGTCGTGCAGTGACTACAACTGAGAACATGACGTACAAAAAGCGTGATGCACGTGAAAAGTTGTTGTTTTGCCAATCTAAAGGTGATGTTACACGAGACGATTCGAAACGACGATTTTTAGCACAACACAGCGTTGCAACATTGTTGCGACATTGTTTCGAATAGCTGCAACATTGTTCCAACATTGCAACCCTGTGTTGCGCTATAAATCATCGTTGCGAATCGTCTCGTGTAACATCACCTTAAAAGTGATATTACACGAAACGATTCGCAACGACAACACACAACACAGCGTTGCAACATTGTTTCGAATGGTTACAAGATTGCAGCGCAGTGTTGTGCTAAAAATCGTCGTTGCGAATCGTCCCGTGTAACATCATCTTTAAACTATTGCTTTTTTGCCGTTGTAGTTGCCGTCACCCTTGCCGTCGTCGTTTCCTCAGCTCTCTAAAGGTGATGTTAAACGGAACGATTCGCAATAACGACTTTTAGCGTAACGCAGCTTTGCAATGTTGGAACAGTGTTGTAATCATTGGAAACAATGTCGCAACAATATTGCAAAGCTGTGTTGCGCTAAAAATTTTCGTTGCGAATCGTGTAACATCACCTTAATGAGGAGCGTAAGCAACGACTATAACAACGAGAAGGCAAAAAGGCAAAAGGTTAAGTTCATTTTGTTAAATGTTGCCAATTACGAGTTTTCTTTGAGACTACTTGAGAATTACAAATATCCGAAGTTTGTGTCAAACAAATGTCTCCCAAACACTGTCAATCAAACTTTGTAAAAACTTGTTAGGCTAACAGCTTTTAAAAAACCATAACTGGAATCTGTATCAATCTTCTTCAAGTACTGCCATGCTGTGTTATTCATATAGCTATTAGTATAGGTAATAGCATGATTTGTAGTGATATTTGGCATAAATACCACGAGTGACATTTCGAAATTGTTATACGTAATTTCACGAGCCGTTAGGCGAGTGAAATTTGAGACAATTTAGAAATATCACAAGTGGTATTTATGCCAAATGTCACGTACAAATCATGCTATTATTTGTTTATACTACTACCCACAAAAGGTTTTTAATTTTCACATGTAGGTATTTCAAATTAAGCTGAAATACCACCGCTCTAAGCCAATCAAATTGCAGAAATTTCTCATGTAGTAATATAAAATCAGTTATTTCATGTTTTACTCAGTTTGGTGGCAGTTCGTACTGTTTGAATTTTGATAATTTTCATGACACAGCTCCTTAAAATTGGCGAGAAAAATAAACTTTGCACGTGCATGACGCTTTTTGTTACATTTCCTTCACGTTTTAAGGAGAACGCACACTCAAGAAAAAGATTTCTTTCTTTGTTTTACTGAACAGCCCTTCGGAATTCAATTCCAGAAAAATCCGCCAACATTTGACAAACTGCGAGAACTGGAATAATCGTGACAAAGTTTGAAACGGCGCAAATTCGTTTTCGCTACCGCTGCCACCGTTGATGTTGCTTAACCTCTCCAGAACGGTGATGACGATGGTGGTCACGATGATGACTTCCCTTCTTGTACAACTGACGCGAAACTTTCTTACCAGCGGCGTTAAGAAACGTACTCTAATCTCCTTGTCGGGGACAGGTACTCATGGGATAATTTACTGTAGAACTTTAAGAGGCTACACTTACTCTAATATGCCAGCTTTTTCACTTGCAGCCTTGATGAATTCCGGTATAAAACTTTTAACATCTCTAGAATCCATGTTGGCTCCGTTATATTTCAGCTGAAGCCGCTCTGTGCCTTTTGAGGCTGTGGAAAAACATTCACAATCAAATAATGTGAAAACCCCTCTGGAGCTACATCATTTTTATGAAATGTTTTAAAACATTTTAAACTTAAAATGTAATTATTCGGGGATTTGACCTTAAAAACATGTTTGCTTCCAAAACGAATCCATACTTCCTCACCCTACCCCTCTACCCAATCAAGTCTCTGGACACCACAGGAGGAAGCAGGGTTTCAAAAAAATAACCCTATGATGATAATGATGACATTTAACCCTGTGATAAATCTATGATCGTGATGGTGTGAGAGAGATATTAATAATGGTGATCGTATGATAGTGATATCAATAATGGTAGGAGTGATATCAATAATGGTAGGAGTGATATCAATAATGGTAGGAGTGATATCAATGATGGTGGTAGAGATATTAGGGAGCTTTAGATTCTAAGAAGAGGACGACTACGAGACCGAGATTTTCTCAAAACGTAGCAGTACGCGCGTGCTTTAACCAGCGTCATTTTTGGCGGGAAAACGTGATAGCCGTCGTCATTCTCTACGGGTTTTAGCGAGAATGTCATAGTGACGGAAACAAGTTATCAAATGTTAGAAATTTGCTCATTTTTGGATCGGGAAAGGGCTTAGCCTCCTTCAATTAAAATAGTAGTGTTAACTTTTCCGATGAAAAGGTGTACCTATTTTTTGGGAATACGCGATAAAAACTCAAACTTCGTTCTTGTAGTCGTCCTTGCGTCCTCGAATCTAAAGGCCTCTACTAATGATGGTGATGGTAATGGCAATGGTGGTGCTAGTGATGGTGATATCAATGACGGTGATGAAATCATTGATGGTAATGGTGACAGTCAATGATAGTGATGATGAAGACAGAAAGGCCTCTACCAATGATAGTGTAGTGATATCAATGATCAGATGATGATGTTGATATCAATGATTGTAATATCAATGATGGTAACGAAGGTTTTAATGGCGGTGATGATGAAATCAACGATGGTGATGGTAAAGGTGATATCAATGATGGCGATGGTGATATCAATGATGGTGATGACGAAGACAGGAATGGTATTGTGTGCTGCTGGTGATAAAACTACAGTGAACGCGAGATGGTGATGACAACCATGATTAAGGCGATATGATCAATCACGACTAGCGATTATGGTGTCACTGATGGACGTAGTGTTTTTACAAAGGAATTTAAAATTGTCAGGTCTCACTAACCAGGGTATGTCCTTTCGACACTAGGTTTCGGATGCTGCATAGCTTCTCCAGCACCGTTTTTAGCTTTCACAATAAAGCTGTATGCTGTATTGCTAAACAGGTTCTTAAAAATGTAATAATGAGTTGAGCCATCTACGGTGATCTCCTCTGTCTGAGAGGGACGAACCTGGCCCCATGTGATCTGTAACAAAGCAAAAAAATAGAAACCATGGGGGTACTTACCATTTACAAGGGAAAATCGGAAATCCCGGGTGGAAAATCAAATGTTTTGCGCCCTTTCTTTTGGGAAGCTTCAGAAAATATGGGACGTGTTGCACTTTTTTCGGATCAATTTAGGGTTTGGGGGAAACTGACCACCTACCCCTCCCCTGAACCAACATTTTGCCCTAGATGAGAAGAAAGGGTGGGCTAGGTTGGTTTGCCTCTACCGCTGTTTTTATTTCACACCGCGCATATTAAGGGTGAGGTGGGTCACAGTAAGCTCACTTATGGACCTAACCTGAGAAAACAACCGAGAATTCGAGACGAGATGAAATGACGTCTGAGGAATCAACGCAAAAATTCCATACTGATGTCGAGTCACTACCCAGATCTGGGTGGTGCTTCTGATTGGTTGAAGCAAGTTTCCCTCTTAGCACGACAAACCCAGATAAGAGTAGAGACACGTCATCAGTGTGGAATTTCTGCGCTTATTCCTCAGACGTCATTTCGCGGGGAAATGTAGGCGGTTTTCTCAGGTTATCATGCTGACGTCCGGTTGTGGTGTTAATAGGGGCCTCAAGATCCGACGACGGCAACGGCGACGGCAAAGAGAACGTGAAAAAAAGAAATGCGTGTAATAAGCAAATCAAAACAAAAACTTTGCAGCACACTTTTTTGTCCCCTTTTCCGTCACCGCACGACTAGGACAAACTTAGAATTCTCCTACATTTGACAACGGAAGTGAGTTCGAATAATCGTGAGGAAGATCAAATAAATGCGAATTTACTTTTTAAGCCACGCTTTCGCTCCCGTCCCCGCCCTCCGGGATCTTAAGGTCCCTAATAGGCCCTGTCCAGACGAATCCAGGTAACAAAATATGTGGTTTCAACACTGTCCGGATTATTGTGGACGACGCCTAAAATCTAAAGAGGACATCTGAATACTAATCTGTCAGATTCCATTCCATTCCATCCCATCCCATTTATAAAAGCTACCTTGTCGATTGACAATGAGTACATCTTCAACAAGATACCTTGTATTCTTTGATATCTCCATTGGGTGGGTCTGGTGTAGACCACGTGATCAGAATAGTTGCTGACGGAGGGTCCATGGTTTCTGTTGTTACATATTTCACGACACCAGGAACTAAAACAGGAACATTTCAGGTATAAATAGGAATAAAATTTAGACATCACGTTTTAAAGGAAAGTTTGGTCTCAAGGTTCATTCTACGAGATTTGAGCGTCACGACAACTTTTATTCAAAAATCGAAGGAGCACTATGACAGCTGTCTGGGCAGTAAACCATGCTGCACCAAAGCCAAAACTGTAACTCAAATGGACACGCGTACAACCTCTCTTAACCCTGGTTTCCATATGATTGCTGCAAAAGACCTCAGCGATCGTAGCGACAACGATCGCGGAGATAGAAACGTTGTCGCTGCGATCGCTGAACTTTTTTTCAGCGATCGCAGCGATCCTATGGAGACCGGGCTTTACAGATTTCATAATCAACTAGCGCTTACCATATTTGGAAGACGCGAGCAACGTACCATCGATTTCCACAAGTTGTTCCAGATTTTCCAAAAAGTTGCTCGTAATTTCTCAAAAAGTTGCTCAAAAAGCAATCAAAAGTTGCTTTTTGTATCGACAGTTGATCAAAAAATGTTCGCAGAAACAAAAACGTTTTTTGGTCTGATGCTAAAGTATTCAAATTGTACAACAAAAGTAAGATTTCTAAGCATTTTTGTGCAATTTTACGGCGTTGCCAAATAACTTTATCCTCAATAAAACCAAAAAAGGTAATGAACCAATAAAATTGTTGAATATCCTTCTCCACCCGAGACACTATAGTTAGTCGAGTGTGAATCTTCGTCCATCATTTTGAATTTTCTCTACAAACCGCTGCCCCAGCAGCCCGGTTGATTTCATCTTGCGCCCATGATCTGCCCCAGGAGGCGAGGATTTGGCTCCTGTTTTACAGGAAATTCATAAATTGTCTACTAAAACATTGTGAAATATGGAAGAAAGGCCGCCAATTTACGCACTAAAAGCTGCTCCGATATCTCCGAATTAGAAGAATTACAAAAAGTTGCTCGAAATACGAGAAGTTGGCAAGAAGTTGCCGAGCAACTTGTGGAAAGCCCTAGCAAAAAGCATCGATTCGATGGTATATTTGATTGGAAACGACGCTGACCGATGGTATATTTACGCAATAGACCACACTTTCTATGGGTTTACCGGCGTGATAACCCACTTGGGATGTTGGGAGAACACGAGAAAAGCTTGTAAATCACGAGCCGAAGGCGAGTGATTTACAAGCTTTTCGAGTGTTCTCCCAACATCCCAAGTGGGTTATCACGCCGGTAAACCCATAGAAAGTGTGGTCTATTGCTTTTATAAAATAACTTTTAATAAAATGGAGTCTTTTAGGTAAAAAATATGATTTTAGTACCGTGATCAAGTCATGTCTTCTCTCTAAAGTCATCATAAGCCAATCACGACTCACGATTTAATAGCGCTAAACTTTCTCAAAACTCAGTTCAGTCAAACAACAAACAGCAGCACTTCAAAACACGAGTTTTTGCACTCATTACATGATAACTTATGAAAGCTGTTTTACAGGAAAAGTCAACACATATTCATGCGAACGTACAATGAAAGAATACGTTCATGGTTTGTTTACTACAGAAGTAGAAATTGATTGAACATCAGACTGTACGCAGCTGTATTTTGTTGAGTCGATCCGTAAGAATTTCGTGCTTACAGAGGAAACTGGCAGCTATTGTAATGGAGGACTTCATTCACTTTTTACAAGCCGCAGTGGTTTAAGATCTGTTTCCTGGACTTTATTATGATCAAGAAATGCTGCGGTAACGACGTGGCTGCATTTGCGAAGTTGTCGCATGTAACTTTATATGCACGTACAGCGACCGATGGAAATATGTCAGTGGTGGAGAAAGGTTTCTTTGCCGTAGCCACATATTGGCGTTAATATTTGTCGATTTGTGAAGTCAGGTGGTGTGAGGTAGGTCATGGCATCGATATCATCGAATAATTTGTGCAAATGTTGGAAAAAACTAGCCCGAAACTCTGACATCTTTCATCATCGTTGGCAGCTTGTTTACAACCTCCAGCGGCCGATTTTGTACCATATCTTGATCAGAGATCTCTTTTTGAAACAATTTCTTTGATTAAGGAATTTAATTTTGAAATAAAATAAATCAAGAATGCTAAAACTATCCGTTTTGTTGCTGGTTGGCACGTGGTTAAGTTTTCCTAGAGACTTTCTACACCAGAAATTCACACAGTTGTTGTCTTTCTCTGCGATTTGGCATCGTCGTGAAATGTAAACTGCTTTCCAGCTTTGTACTTTATAACTTCTGAAGCTATGGCATTAGCGAATTGTAATGCTCAGTAATAAAATATGGAAACCAACTATTTTAATATTAAGAAGGACTGGGTAAGTAACTTGTTCTGTTTTTTTTAGCCTTTCTAAAATCGTTGTTTGCAGATCAATAGCCGGTTTTGTTTATGGCTCGTGGTCCGGATGCCCTTTTCTATGGGTTTACCGGTATAATAAACCATAGGTTTTTGACCAATCAGATCACGCGTACTATCTCAGTTATTTTATAATTGATTAGAAACGACGCTGACCGATGGTATATTTGATTGCAAACGACGCTGACCGATGGTATATTTGATTAGAAACGAGGCTGACCGATGGTATATTTGATTAGAAACGACGCTGACCGATGGTATATTTGATTAGAAACGACGCTGACCGATGGTATATTTGATTGGAAACGACGCTGACCGATGGTATATTTGATTAAAAACGACGCTGACCGATGGTATATTTGATTGCAAACGACGCTGACCGATGGTAAATTTGATTAGAAACGAGGCTTCTTAGAATAAAATGAACAAAAAATGGAGGATCCGAAGAAGAAATAGCCAAATTTCTGACTAAAACTGAAAGCAATAACGAAAGGAAAATAAACGCAAAACATATTGCCCGATTGATGTTTTCGACTTTTTGAGGAATTTCTACTAGAAAAATCTGTTCATATCCTGAAACCGTGCCGAGAAATAGGCCAAAGTTTTGAATAACGACTGACGAGGAGGAAAGGTTGGTAAGAACTTAGAAAAATTTTGAACGAATAATAAAGCAATTATTGAATTGATTTTCGTATGCTCTCAGAGGCTGTTACCAGTCCACCTCGGCCGTCCTCGTCTGCGTAATTCTTCACATTATACGCGAAAGCCGAATTCAATAATCGTTTAAATTATTTTCATTTCACTGCTAAGGGAGGACTTACCACTTTCACTGGTTCGACAAATTACAACTGGACTTCTTGCACTAGAGCCTACGTCATTTTTAGCGGAAATGCTGAATTTGTATTTGGTGTAAGGAAGAAGACGTGAAACGGTATAACTTGTCTTCTCTCCTTTTACATCCAACGGCTTTGTCATTTCGAATGAGCTTTCCTGGAAAAGAGATTTTAAAAAACATTCTTAGTATGGTGCACTGAGGTTGATTACCACGAAATAATAAAAATAAATAAATAAAAAATACTTAATTATCCCTTAGTTTTAGCTTTAGTTTTACCAGCTTTTCTGGACACAGGCCTGCCCAAAGGGAATGTGCACGAACGGGACACAGGCCCCCAAGGTGCAATCCCTACCCAATCCCACAACCCGTATCGCCACACCACCGGGGTTTACGTCTCCTGCTCTTTTCGAACGGTGGTGCGGGTTCTTTTACGTCCCACAAGAACAGATCAGTGAAAGTGCTGTGAGACGGGACCTACGGTTTTTCGTCCTTTTCCGAGAAGACTAGAAAGTCTACCAGGAGACGGATGACTGTATTCGCAGGCTAAAAAATATAATGATGATAGTGACAGTACTTAGGTCTATTCCTTAGTATTCCATGGCGCATCCTTACTGCACATAATTTGGCGCGTAATAAACGTGGGCACATACAAACATGGGGACTGTTTTTTTTTTGCTGTTTTTTTTTAAATGGGAAGTAACATTCTTTCTCTAGAATAAATATAGACTAATGTCCAGTGCAGAAAAGGAAACAATGGTCGAAAACTGGTTATAACTATGCACTTGAAAATATGATCATATTGATATTTTAAGGAATTATTACAAATATACAAGTTGCTACTGCTGCTAAACGAATATGGCGACCCCCAATTTTAGTTCAAAATTTGACTTCCTATAACAACCGATTGGCAAAGTTTGACAAAATCTCACTGCGCGGGGTCAGTTCCATTTCAGAGGAGTGACCTTAAGCCATTTTTTTTAGTGTCATCCCCCATTATTCCCCCCCCCCCCTCCCCCCTCCCCCCTTACTCCCCACCCCCCCTCCCCCCTTCCCCCCCCCCCCCACCCCCCCAATTTTAGTTACTCTCCCCACTATTGGGCACTGCCGATCCACCATTCCCCCCTCTCGCCCACTCCCGTTCCCCCATTCCCCATTATTCACCACCCCCTATCCCCCATCCCCCATTATTCCCCACCCCCGATCCCCCATTCCCCATTATTCCCTATCCCCATCATCATCGTCGTCGTCGTCGTCATCATACATTCACCTAAAATTATTTACCTCATAAATTTCATAGGATAAACCAGGACTATACTGAACAGGAGCCCATGCTAGTGTAACTTGATTTGGACCTCGAGTGGAACAGCGAAGATTCTGAGGGATTCCTGGCTCTAAAAGAGCAAACATGTTTTTTTTTTTACTTTGCTGTGGACCGGGAGAAAACAAAGAAACTCCCGAATAAGGAAGTTCAATAGGACGGCAGTAAAAAAGGTCGTTATGCGGGCCTGCGTTATAAACGATTCTCGTTTGACCTTGAAAAATTCTTTGCGAAAGTTTTGTTTTTTCACCAGCAAGTATATAAAACTGATGAAAACATTAACCCTAAGACGAACGGAAAAGAGAATCATTTAATTGTCCCTGCAGGCAGCCCAGTTTTTGTACCTCAAGTAATAGAAAACTGCTCTTTATCCTAGAGTCTTTTTTCAGCTTGAACAAAGTTGTCTGCTCGCTAAATCAACCAAACGGTGCGCGTATTTTTGTCTGTTCGACAAAGCAACCATTTTTTATATTCTTGCTGTATTGTTATTCTGATTTTGTTCGTGAATAATCAATTAAAGGTCAACCGAACATCGCTTTGTCGGATTCTGTTCCATATTAAATTTTACAATGACTGCGGGGCGAAAGATGTCATTTGTTAAATAAGCCATTCTTTATACATCGGGCTGGTTTGCCTCTTGGTCATTTAATATTTTCATGATTTTGCCTTTGCTTAAGTCAAGTATAGTAGCGATAATAATGTATTTTGGTTTTATCCGTTTCGCGTTCCGATCAAAAACAGAGGTTTTCGAAAGCACTCTCTGGAGTGGAGATTTTTGGAATGGAGGTTCAGCGTATTAGTGTCGGCGGGCGAAAACTGAGGTTTTTGAAGACGCTTACGTCACCGCTCCGCTTTCGTAGACATACACCTCCGTTTTCGATCAGATTAGAGTGGAAGGAAAGCAAAAACGGATACAAGGGTCTGCGTTTTCAAACGAAAACGTACTAGTATGGACGGTTGAAAACGCTGTGAAAAAGCCAGTGTGAAAGAAAACTTTTACTGCGTTTCTGAGAAGCTGAAAACGGAAGTTTTCGAAAACGTATTAGTGTGGAAGTGGCCTAAGAAAAAGTGACGGGTATACTGTCTCTAGCACGAGCAAGCATATTACCTCAAAAAGATACGCGTCAAAACGTAGCGTACTCAAATTGTTTTCACCCGTCCACACGAAAACGCTAAGACGATAGAATACGATTGAATGCCTTACAGGGCATGCCCTGTATCATGTGTGACAGCATCGTATTCGAAAAACTCCGTTTTCGCTCGTCCACACGAAATCGATATGCCGGCGTTTTCAAAAATCTCCGGAGATCGCTTTTGAAAAAAAGGCGCTTTCGGTGATCATTATCTCTGTTTTCAAAAAAAACATCCGCGTCCATACGCTGCGTTTTGGAATCGTTTTTAAAAAGCATACGTGTGAAAGAGTCCCTTGATTCTCGGGAAACAAAATTAACTGTTTCCCTCGGGACCGGTAATTAAGTGTTTATTATTGTCTCACGACTGATTAATGATAGAACAACAACAACACAAAAATATTGAACGGACTTGGCCAAGGAATTTAACCTTATCAAAAACGAAGAAATATATATTCTAGTGGAATAAAAATAATTAAAATTATCACAAAATGAGACTTACTTAGAGTTTGAGTGCTAAAGCTAATGCTTGCTTTCGGTCCTTCGCCAAGCTCAGAATACGCCCAAACAGAAACAGTGTAGATATTTCCTGGATTCAAATTACAAACAATTTTAAAAGTTGAGGCGGCATCATTGATCGAACTGTCGTTGACCCGAACTCTGTAACCCTGCAATCAAACAAAGATCAACATCGTAAATTGGCCGGGTTAACTGGTATGACTTGTAACCACAAAGGCTCTGGGGATCGTTTGGAGGAACAACAAAAGCATGGCGGGGATCAGCAAGCCACCGGTGAAAGACGCTCTCAAGACCTTTCCGACTGAAGCAGGACCCAAACTAATTTTCGGACGGTGGCTGGACTGAGTGGCCGTAAGGGACACCTGAGTCGTATTAAAACAAGCAAACCTTTGGCAACGACAGTTTGAGGATGGCGTAACACAGTAATAGGGTAAGTCTGAGGCTATAACTACACACTACATTATATCGGATAGTGTTTCGTGTTTACATGAAAAGCTATCCGATACAGTATGAATGGCAACGTCACGGAACTGGAACAAGTCGTTACACACATCGAACATCGTACCGATTGACCGAGAGGGATTGGTGAACACAATTCTAGTCCTCACTACTGAATATTAACTTCCGCCTCAGTGGATTCCAGTCCTCGCTCTTACCCATTTACTTCCGCTACGGTCCGAGTATCCGTTTACACTCCGATGAAGAGGGGTAGAAACCTATCCGATAAGTGACGATCCACTTTCACGAACGGCCCAGCGCAACTTCGTTCCATTACAAAAACCGTACCGAAATCACCGTCCTTGTGGTATGGTTTTCGTCGGCGCATGAGCTGTCCGGTAGGGTGTGAGCATAGCCTG